CCTCTCTCTCTCTCTCTCCTCTCTCTCTCTCTCTCTCTCTCTCTCTCTCTCTCTCTCTCTCTCTCTCTCTCTCTCTCTCTCAAACACACACACACAACAAAAGGATTGGATTTTACCACCGAAGAACTAACTCATGGTCCCAAACACTAAAAGGAGAGAGCAGGAGGCAAGAAAAGAATCACGCTCTTGATTCAACCGAAATAAGGATTGAGACAGTGATACAAAACGAACACCAATCCGGAAACCTCTCTCCTCTCCTCCTCGTTATCACGACATGTCTCCCTCTATATCTCGATCGGTTTCCTCTTCCTATTGTCTCGTCCTCGCTTCCTCTTCTTCCCGTCCTTCCCCTGTCGTCTGCTTTTAAGGAAGGCGAGCTTCTTATGGAAGGGAAGGAAAGAATTAATAGCGACGCGGTACGATATTTCGCTGTTATGTTCTCCGCAAAGTAAAAGCGCTTTATATATCGTCCGATACATGTGAACGGCTATGATCAGAGAAGCGAGGAAGATGGTCGGCTAAAAACGCCACGCGGGGGGAACACGGAGACAACACACCACGTCTTATCGTGCGATCTTGTCCGTTCATACTGATGATCCAACGGTTGCGGAGGGCTCCCGTTCCATAACGGCGACCGGTTTTGGAAGCATTGCCGCGTGGGGAGTCGGGTGGGAAGCGCACGGACGCGTGTTGATCTGCGCGGCGTCTTATGTGGGAAATTGTTTTCTTACATTGCTTTACGTACTCGAAGTATTACCCGTTCTGTGATTGGACAACTCTACGGGTTTTTGCCCGTCCGTTTCCGATGATAAGAAAGGTAATTAAGGCGAGTAACTTTGGACGAGTGATAACCCTGTTGCTCTTTTTTCCATGGCGTCTGCTGGTTTTATTGTCTTTGGAAGTCGTGCAATCGAAAGATTAAATGCTTTGATTAAGAGAGGTTAATACGACACTATTATTATTATTATTATTATTATTATTATTATTATTATTATTATTGAATTGAAGTTAGAGGTGTGTGTTGTTGACGTATGGGTTTACCGATTAAAAATTAGTATGAATTTGTTGGTAATAACTCGATGTATAAAAAAAATAAAATCAAAAATTAATTATAAAAATTATAAAATAATATTTACATATTTTGATTTTTTAATATATGTCCATGGATAAAAATAAAATTTTTAACATAAAAAAATAACTCACATTCATTCTTTCGACTATGTATTATACTAGTAGAAATCTTTAGATACATAATAAGGTATTTGTTGAGCAAACCCAACATTGATTAGCAAAGATTTCCTTCCATTTTTGAAATTGTTGTCCTCCGAGTAACATTGTTATGCTGTTATGATTTACACTTGTCAATCAATTCATCCAAAATATAATTTAAGGTTACCAAAATCTAGTTTATGTGAGTTTGATAGATATAAATATTCAAAAAAAAAAATCTAATAGTTGTATGAAGTTTAATTTTTTTCTTATAAATATTCTATATTAATTGAGTAAATGATAAGTGATTGATAGGGAATTTATCATTAATTGACATGCGATTGAAATTTAAGTATTTTACATCTAGAATTTGATAAGAAAGAAAGATAATTACAAACTTCCTTCGCTTCATTTACAATAAGGAGGACAATCCTAAACTTCATTCTTATTCTTTATTCTTTATGACAAACAAAGATCATTATCTTCGTTCAAAGATATAAAAATATATTTTAAATATGAAAATAAAATTATAACTCGTTTCTTTTGAATTATTCGAAATCATATTTTCGAACATTAGATTCCTTACTTGATCGTTGGAGGGATCGGTTCAGAAAACTCCTCTCGACCTCAGTCTTCATGCAAGTGACAGGAGTATAATACATCAAAATTGGAAGCTTCATATTTTCATATTGGGAATACAATCTTTTTGCCTTTTAAGACATTTCAGATATTCGTGTGCACACAAGTCTGGACCATGTCGAACTGATCAGGATGTCAATAATATTTTCTCCGAACAACAATAAAGATTTATTTTAGTTGGCAAACAAATATATATATATAATTAATCATGTGACATGTGATCTCTTGTGTGGTATAAAAAGTTAGAGGTTGACTAATAATATTAAAACAGAAAAGTCAAAAGTTGACTAACAATCAAGATTTATGGCGTCAAGAACGACGTGCACAATAAAAGTCTTGCTGGCCACGATTAATGAGATTTAGTAAGAGTTGGTATGATGATATTTATCCGAAGCAATATAAAATTACAACTGCAGCCAACCATTGAAGGGGTTTGAAGATATGTGAAGGGAAATAATGGTCATATCATGTTGATGTTGATGAAAGCAAACATGATTAGTACTTTGCACATGGTTAGTAAAAAATAGAAATAATAAGACAATCCAGATGTAGTTCGAAGATCATGATTTCAAGACCGACATTTATAATAGGGACATGAGATATGTATGCATCGATCCCTATGTTTTGGTTTACATATATATGAATAGGGTTAACCTATGAGTAAGTTTGAAGTGTTTTTGGAGGTTGATGTTGTTGCCTTTGGGAAGAAGGGTGTTGACTTTTTTTTGTGCCGTTCATAGGACACAAAGTGGCCATGGGAATGAGTGCACCAGTGAGTTGAAACAAACATGTGCCATGGCTAGAGATGCTTATATGCATGTGTATACGAATTGATAAGATCACATGTGCCATGGCTAGTGTCACGTTAATTAGGGGGTATGAGAACTAAAGACTTATAAATTCGTCGGATCTTCCTTACCCTCGAATATACCTTTCGAAGCTCACATGTTTCGAAAAGATAAAATCGTGTAGATACGCCCATTGTCCAAAACGGACAATTCCTCGTGAGCCTACGGGCCATACTTATGAACCTACGAGCTCAAAAAATCACCAGGTCTTCCTTATCCTTAAAGGAGCATGATCGATCGATCAAATGGTCACTTATCATATACCACTGTAAAATTCTTATCGTTAATGAAGAGGAAGAGCATACCAAATGATCCTTTATCACGTATTACTATGGAGTTCTTATCAGTAATGAAGGGAAAGAGCATACCGAGGGAGGAGGAGACATGAAGATAAGATAAAAACCTTGAGAGCCACTTAGTGGAGTGTTGTCAATCTGTTTGAAGTTTCTATTTTGAGTTTATGGCTAAAATATTATTATTATTTATCTTTTTATTTTTTGAATACTTTAACTCAAATCATAAGTAAACCTGATTCAGAAAGTCTATTATAAGATATGATATGACATTCTTGGATATTTTCATATCAATCATTATTTTGTCTAAGCAATGTTGGTTAACATAATTTACAGAACCAAATTTACTATGTTCATCAGTCCAATATGATAGGAGCGGCTGTAGTCTGCAACCAAAACTATTTCCTTTTGTTATTCATCTGTTAAAGGCTAGACTATCTTTCGGTGGTTTCATCGATCATCATTTCCAATACAGAAGAACAGGATATCACAGCCTTCTCCAATGATACAGCTGAAAGCTCATGTTTTGTTTGATTCAACTCCTGAATCAAGAAAGCTCATGATAGATTCTTTTAAGAACTTTTTGTTCCCAAGTCGATGATACAAGTCCATCGATCGTTTACAACCCATGACATACTATAACCAAGTGGATTTGAGGCATAACAAGATTAAGATCGGATGATCGTACGTCCAAAATACTTAAGCTCAAGTTAACAGTCGTCGTCGTCGAGACGTGATATTTTAAGGATAAAAAATAAAACCCACAGCACAATCTAATTTTACTGGGCTAGTGATTTGGTTTCTGTATCACATAAACAACCTCTCGACAGGAAACAAAAACCTTTTGCTACTGTTCATCTCTTCGGCCAACTTCCACAATCCAATCATTTGGAAGATGAAAAAGAGATGGTGGTGGTGGTGGTCGATAGAGGGGGAATGTTCAAAAATTCCATGACATATCAACTGGTACGAAATCAGTAGACTGCATTATATGCCTTCATAACAAGAGAAAGGATTCAAGTGCTCGGATAAAAGAAGATGGAAGAAAGAGAAGAAATGGTCAAAAGGTGGGTGGAAGCAGCTCACATCCAAGATATGGTGTGGATGATGGCTGAACTGGATTCAACCCCGGTCGCAGGTGGATACAAAACATGTCCTGCTGTCTTCCAGAAAAAAAGTTGTTTGGATTCATTGAAATCTATCACATCACCAGCTTTCATAGAGTACGGCTGTTTCCATCGATGTTGAGCCTGGAGAACAACAGTAGCACCATGCAAGATTCAATCTAACCAGTAGATCATGTGACCCTGCTTTGACCACTTGTAGATCATGAGATCACTGTGATTGCAGTGTACGTCAGATCGTTCGTGGTCTTTATTGGCAAGAAAGGCATCGAGACAAAGCCAACTCATGTTCTTGAGTCTTACTTTTACCATGCTCGAATAAAGAAATGCAAATGATGAGCATATAATAAGACCATTAACTCGCCACTTGTATTTCTTCAATGCATCTGCAATCATTTTGCTTGCTAGCTTTTGGAGCTTAGAAAACAAAAAAAGGGGAAAAAGGAAAAGATTTGATGCTGCACATACATACCGTGAACAAAAATTCTCTGACATAAAAAGAGTATGTATCTTGAAATGGTTGATACAACATATTGACATGAATCCATTTATTCTTATGTAGTTGGAGGTATGCACACAAAAGAATAGTAGCGACGGAGAGCAAGCGAGCGAGGACGTACTGCTGTTGATTCTGCTGAGTTGCTCGTGGCGGAGACATCAGAACAGCTCCCAGTCGAACCTTGTGGTGGGGGTGGATGACGCGGTGGAGGTGGCGGTGGTGGCCGGCGTGGAGGTGGATGGCATGAACAAGGAATCAAATGTGTCCCAGTTCGCGGTGGTCACCACCACCGATTGCGGTGGCTGCTGCCTCTGCTGGTGTTGCTGAGACTGCTGCTGCTGCTGCTGTTGAGGATGATGGACATGCCCATTGGCTCTCGGCGTTGCATTCTTGATCTTGATCAGATCGAGCGTTTCCACATACTTCTGGACCCTCCTAACCTGCACCGGAAGTGCTCGTTTACTTCCACCAGTTGAGATCCAAACCGCAGAAGCTCACATAAAGAACACGTTTAGTCCACCTGTAATCTCCTCTGTTGCTTCACGTCCCCGTCGGCGACGACGCCGTCCAACTTGAGCAGCTCGTTCATCAACAACTCGATCAGCCGAACCACGTCCTGGTCCACCACTCTCCCGCCTTTGTTCACGATCGCCTCCAACGCCGACACCTGCGAATCCATGCTTGCATCACCAACATAGCCGAGAGATTCTTGCTGCGGGGTTGCGGGTGGAGATGTGTGTAGTACCTTGGACGCCAGCTTGTCGACCTCCATGCTGATGGCGGAGATGGACTTGGCTGCCTTCTCCATCTTGTCGGTCTTGCGCGTCTCCAGCAGCCGCTTCGCCTTCGCCGTCGGGTCCTCCACCAGCACTACCTTCGACCGGTCCTTCACGCCGGCGGTGTCGAGGAATGCGGCGGAGTCCCGCTCCTTGTCCTTGTAGATCAGCTTCTGGTCGAGCGGATGCATCCCGATACGCGCCGACAGCATCTTCTTCAGCTCCCCTGCCAAGCCATCATCATCAGCTTGTAAGGCCGGAGAAGAAGGAAAAGGCAACACGGAACACTGCGATCATCATCGGTATCACGAGTCTCATCGTTACCGAAGGTGGCCTGAGAGCCGATGTAGATCTCGTGGTAGACGGAGCCATGCTTGACCTTGACACGGATGGTCGGGACGACGGCAGCGGGTGGCCCGGACTCGGGATCGCGCTTCTGTACCACCATTCCGCCGGGAGTCACCTCCCATTCGGCACCCTTCTCCTCCACCACCACCTGCTTCGCAGCTCCATATCCTGTCCTCGACGGCATTCTGCTACCCTCCCCGGAAGATGCACAGCAGCGCAAACTACGATGCGATCAAAAGCTACTGCAAACAGAATCCATTGCGGCTGCTCTGCGCTTCTGCCAAAGATCGCCGCAACGTTTTGGACTCGGATAGATCTACTTCAGAAGAGCAGCAGCCACGAAATAGAAGACGACTACCAGCAATAAAAAAATTGCTAAGCAAGAAGAAGCCAATATATAAAGAATGGAGAGGATAGAGAGATTAACTTGGCTTCAATCTTAACCTCACCACCACCACCACCACCACCAGCACCACCAAGCAGAGCAACAGGTCACAGAAAGCGAAAGCAATCACCCACCAAACTCTTACCACACCCGAAGCTTCCATCCAACAACACTTCACGATGCGTGACCCGACGCTTCCTGTTCTGCTTTGCCACAACAAGCCATCATTCGCGCTCTGATCTCACCGGTGCATCATGAGCTCGCAAGCATCGGCAGCAAGAACAAAGTGGCCACATCGTAACGTGCGTGTCGGTCGTCGCCCAAGGTAAAAAGAAAAATAAAGATCAACCCGGTCCGGTCTTTTCCTTTCCATCGGGGGGGCGAACCGGGCCCCGAGGTCAGCCACCGACAGCGGGAGGAGGTTCTTCGCTGGCAGTGCCACGTGGGTCATCCGGAGCCGTCAATCTCCCTCTCGACCACGCCATCCGAAAGAGACGGTCCACCACCATAAAAACCGACGGTGGGGCCCTCTACACCGTCCGATTTGGCGACCGCGTACCGACCTCGCGATTGATTTTAACGACAAATCACGATATATAATAAACAGAAAACAATTGCAAAATAAACAGCCGCTTAAGAGTTCAGTAAGCTGTCAAAGTACATTCGTACTATGAAAACAATGTATCGAACACATCTACTCAAAAAGTAAGATCATCATAATAACCTGGTGATGGAGAAGAGAGGTAGGTAGACTTCACGTTTCGAATGCATGTATGTATTTCTTCATGTGGTGGAAAACAAACAATGCGGTATACATCGTGTCTTCCTTCTTGCGGTGGAAGAAAGTGATTTAATAGTAGAGTTAGGTCATCTTAATTAATGACCATTTAAATTAGTGGGGGCAATGGGTGACCTAAAGTTGTCGTCTTCTTCTTCGTCTTCAACAAACAACTTGGAACAGTATTCATACCAATTCATTATATATTAAGCCAGTTCAATCATACACAAATAATCTGATTGAAGACACAGAGAGAGCACTCTTCACCCACTACTTGTGCAAGGTTTACTTTAACTACAATATTCTTCGATTAATATTTATATTTGCACAAACCCAAATGAATAATACATTAGAGACACCTAGTAGCCTTCAATCATTGATAGCAGTCTTTTGATTATTAGTACCGATGGTCCTTCTAAATTTCACATGAAGATCACCAAGGTTTCATCTAAAACAAAAGTCAGATTTTGTTCCTCCATAACATAATAAACATTTATTTTTAATACTTCAAATTACAAATGGGTTTTTGGATTATCCCCCATATGGTGCATTTACCTTTAGGGTTCAAGGGATTATAATTGTAGCCTAAGGCTTAGGGAGATAAAGCAAAATTGACATTGATGATAAGTTGGAACTCTAGACATCCACAAGACAAGTATAATAAATTGACCAGATGTAGAGAACTTGTAGATAACAATTTATCTTCAAATTGAACTGCACACTCCTCTAATTAAGCCTCATAAATTTGCAGTATGCTTTCATGTTTCACTAAAATAACTTGTAGCTTTATCAAACATTAGGACATGCATTGTTATATGTTATACAAGATGTAGGGATATTTTCTCACCTTTATAAATTGGTTGGTTTCTCTTTGTAAACCCAAAGCAAGTATGTATTATTCTTTACTGGTGATCTTAAGATGTCTTGTGACCTTTTATTAAAGGGTCTAATATTCCTGAGAGTACTACTACTGCTACTACTTCCACCACATGGAGGACAACTAATATGGTTACATAGGACAACAATGCATCTTTTCTTTACTGCTAGTTGGCCCCATTAACTTTTATTCTGATGAAGCCACAGCAAGAAAGGACTATTATATGAGGCGCCCATAAAACATGTGTTATTGGAGGGTCAAATTCATAGACTCTCTTGCTCCTATAATCCACTCCATGAAAATCTAAAAGCTAATGTTACTTGTTACAGGTTCTTTCAACAGAAAACCAGGGTGGAAAAAGAACAGGAAACCCAAATGTGGAACCTCTAATATGAATATCACATTTGGGTGGGTGCTGAGATCTCAAACATTGTCGAGCAGTCTCCATCTCCAATCAAGCCATGGAGCATGATGTTGCTGGGGATGAAGACCACACTCACAATTGTAGGCCAGTGGTCCAGATTATTGAGGCCATCCACTATAGCTTGAACCGACTAACTGATGCAGTTAGTGTATCACATTGGTTCCATCTACATCTGATGCCGACATACATACTAATATCGCAGCAAGGAGTTTCAATTGAATCAGTGTAAGCTAGACACTGGAATCTATTGAGTGGAAGGCAGTAGTGGTTGACATGTCTGTCCGAAAGGGAAATTTGATCTTACATTCATTGAATGCCATAGGTATGTGATGAGGAATTCTTGATGAGAATGAAGGAGACAACCTAGCTGTTACAATGATACTTGATTACAAAGCAACATACACAAGAACAAACATTGAAAACAGTTGGTTACTGTTACCTAATTCCAACTAAGATAAAACAATCATGATTAGTTAACACAACAATTATGTCCTTATGCTAGATAGGTAGCACATGCATGAATATTTGTTGGTCCATAGGCTAATTCATTTTCTGATCACAGAGGATACTAGCAAATGAGTCTATTTGATTGTTGAAGTCATCTCATAGTAATTTATTAAGTCAGACAAAAGATATTGATGAACTGTAAGGAAATAAATATTTAAACAGAGAGAAAGGCCTAAGTTTTGAGTTTAAATAATGACATCATTCTAGAGATTAGAACAAGTAAAATATCACCCAAACATGTCAAATTGCTTCAATCAGTGACAATTCTGAACTATACTTTCCTAAGTGTAAATTGTTTGTTTATTACAAATATGTTGAGCATAGATAAATGTAATGTCGACATGGTATCAGCACTTTGAACAACAACTAAGGATGTAGTTTCTAATTTGGTTGGTAAGTTAATGGCCATCCGTAGCTTGTTTAAGAAGATTATTTCATTGCACTAAGAATTTTGTTTTAAGCTGATCATCGTGTTCAAATTAATATTTTTCCATTATGTAGTGTTACAGTTTTCTTTCCAGGTGATGTTTGAATACTCTAATACACAACTTCTATTGAAACCTTCATGACACTAGTTTAGATTCTTGAGATTAGACTGGCAATCACACTAAGGAAAAAAAACGATGTCATAACAAAAAGATCAAGAAACAACCCAGCATTCATGGAAACCCTGAGAATATTTAAAATATAGACCAAATCATTATAAATGCAATTAACCGTTGTCCCCATGTGCACATGCAAGGTCATTCTTTAAGAAAATGAGAAAATGGTTGCCCACAATTGCCAACCAATCAAATTTTGGAAAAAAAAAGTCTCTATAGTCTAAAATTAATGCCTATGACCTACCAAAACTTGTAGTCAACATCATCAAAATGCAATGACAGCTAGATTTTGTTGGCCACCAAGTCAGCCAAAAAATATGCCTCTTGAAGATTAAAAGCAGCAATACAAATGACTGTGCATAAAAGAGAGAACATTTTATCCCTTAAAATAACTGCACTACCACTTTCCACCACCACGTAGAACGTCATAAAGATTTAGACCAACCATAACGATTAGACACATTAGGGTTTTGGTTGGATCGGGTTGTAGCCTAGAACATGAATATTCCAGCATGCCACACTGGACTGAACTGCAAAGTAATTTTTGCATTTTTGATGCATGCAACATAGATTGAAGAGTTCTGCAGCTGCCCCGGTGAAATTATTGGTTAAACTTGAAATAGCAGCAAGCTTCATGCATGTTGACTCCGGTAGAAAGCTGTCCTCAAAATTCACTATCAGCAGTCAAGATTAATCATAATCAGCAAGCCACATATATCCCGTCCCCTGAATCTCCCAATCTTATCTTACTTTGCCTCTCAGGAACTCATCAGACCCCTGGGTGTAATAAAACCATGTCGGTCATTGTGATATACCACCATAAACACACTAAAATATTTCGGGACCAGAATGCTATTTCTGAGAATGCAGGGTTCAGATTATAACATTGCAAGCATTTGAAATATATTGCTTTTCAATTTGCCTTAAAAAATTTACTATGTATGCCACCAAAAATAAGCATACAAGCATGATCAAGGATATATGAGCTGCATCACTGCATGCAAAACACATTGTCTAGCCCTGGGCTAGCACAGTATGTGTTGCGAGCCAGACATTATTCTTGAAGACAGCAGGTAGGCAAAGCCCAGACATTGAACTCATGTACCATGTTGCGGTGTAACCATCTTTAATCTCATTTTGTTCTATTATGGGAGATAAGAATTTGTTTTCTTCTCTCCAAGACCTCACATATCTGTGCACTCTGACATGCTTACCTCAAGCACTATGGAAGAATAAAGATATCACATTTCTATTTGATATTCATATTGGGGTTGTTAAGTATTTTTGGATTTCTAGTGCCAATGCCCTTAGAGAATAAGAAACTCAAGTATGAAAAGACCACTTCGTGAAGGGAGAAAATCTTGAAAATTAAGATTATATTATTTTATATATATATATCTATGTTTCTCCAGGTATTGGTGAGGTGTGAGAAGACACTTTTGATTCATGTGTATAAGGAGATTTGTGTCTGATATGGGATTAACTCAAATGAACTTGAACTTGGTTTCATGTGATGAATTTTTTGATTTACTCCATGGGTATAGGTAAGGAGTGTTGAACTACATAAATCTTGTGCCAACTTTTCTGATTTGTACTTTATTGTTGATTTTTGAATTTCTATTTTGGCATCAGAGTGTTCTCCCCCAGTATCATGTAGAATCAGCATCGAGAAATTATTCAGGTTCACTGAAGGCATTCAACCATATGCTGTAAAATCTAAATGTCATCCATCCTAGAACCTACACTGACGAGGAGTTTTAACATCACTAAGTATACATCGAACACCATATTTTGGACTATGCAAAAAATCTCAAGTATATCAACAAGGTAATCTAATAGTGGCAAGCTTCATTGTGCGAGTGACATGAGGCATACACTTGATTTAGATTAGGCAATGGTTGTCAGCTCTGTTACCATGCCAACTTTAGCATTGCTGCCTTGTATTACGAATCCAACTTCAAACCCTAAACCAGTGGATCAACAAGAAGCATCAATGGAGCAAAAATCTCACCTCGCGCTGGGGCAGTCGATGCCCGTGGAACGCCCCGGGCAAGCGCCGGAGGACAGTGACCCCGATTCCCGCCGTCGGCGCCATCGCCGGGAGCGAGGGGTCGGGAAGTCGCTTCTTTGCTGCGACGCTAGCCGACCAGTCGATGGGCCGACGAGTGAGAGGACCATTCGATACGTCCTAAGCCACATCAGTATCGTGTCCGGATCCATATAGGGTCAAAACCCGCATAATATCATGAAGGATCCGTTACATGAGACGCCAACTTATTGGATCAATCATCGGGGATCGATCCAAACCCGTGTTGTCGAGTCAGGGAAGCCCGATAAGGATGCCATTGCATCGAGTTCCGAAATCTGTATCTATTTGATCCGTTCAAATCGGGTTTGGATCCCCCTTGATCAATTCGAAATTGAATTTAAAGGTAAGTAACGTTCCTATAATATTTATTATATTCGTCATATGTTTCTGTTCCACCGGTCATATCCTAAGGTCCATTGATTAATATCGATTATTAGGTTTATAGTCTTATTATCATTCACAATAAAATTAAAAAATATTTATTCAAAAAAGAATACACCACTGTAATCCAAGTAATGGTAAGCTTCTAATGGAAAAGAACAACCTTCTAATGGACCTAAACTTGCTTGCCAAGAAAGAAGCATCCATGAATTAACTATCGAAGTCGGTGCCTAAATAAATAATTAGGCTTTTAAACAACAATAAATTTTAGGATAAAATCAGAGCAGATGTAATGTAATGAAACTAGTTTATCTATCCGTTTCGTAACCCACAAATGTACCTGCCAGATAATTGGAAATGGAACGTGGGCCCACCATGACGTTTTACGGTAAGTAGAATTGGGTACGACGAGTATTACGTCAGGAGATAACGTTTCGGAGCTCGGGAAATGCTATTTAAGAATAGGTCACGCACGTGCATGACATTTTACTTGAATATGACACCAATTTTTGTACCTCCAATTGCCATGGCTTAGGTGGGACCCACCTAAGTGGTCCAGAGTGGTGACGTTACGGGTGCGTGGCGACAGGAGTGTGAGTCGGCGGTTTGCAGTTGCCACCCTCCGGTTTAGATATCTTGGCCTCGACCAATCATCGTGCGCGGCGTGTCAGGTCCGATCAGAGGCATCACACCGCAGCCTTGAGATTATCAACACGACAAGAGGACAGTAAGATGGTGACACGTAGGTTTCGAGGTAACCGGTTATAGCCGGTTAACTATGGTTGCCCACTGGTCACCACCCTCTTCTAGTTCCCGCGACGGATAAATAGACCCGCTCGTCGGTCGGCGCCGCCGCGAGAAAGGGGCGAGAGAGGAAGAGGAGCACCGAAGCGTCACTATTGATCCCTTCGGTCTTTCAGATATTTTCTTGTCAGTGGATGCTGGTTGGGGTTCGAAGGGTAAGCGCTGTAGCCAGCTCGTTGCTTTACTTACTTTGTTTGAAGAATCTCTTCCAAGATTTTCCGTCTTTTCTTCGATTATTCATCAAAAGTGTCGTTTTTTCTTATGCTTTGAGATGATACATATTCCAGTTCGCCAGGGGTGAATTGTTGTGATAAATTTCTGATCGGGGCGTTGTCAAGGCCTGTTGGATTTCTTTATCGCTCACTCGCACGGGAAGAAATTAGGGTTTATGCCTTATTTTCCTCCTCGTGATCTTGTTATGTGATAATTAAGGCGCAATACGTTCAATTGCGTTGCTTTCTTCGTGAAAGTTGCGATTGTGGTTATTAGTATTTGACTATTTGATTTGGTCTCATAGCGGTTTATCTGCATTTGGTGTTGATTACTTTCAAGTTCGATCTACTACGTTTGGATGCAATTGGCAGCAAGAAAGGTGGGTATTTTGTTGAATCTGCGGCGATTACGTTCCGATTTCTTCTACTGAGGGCTGTTCAAGAGAGGGCTGGCGCTGGATAGGTGCTTGGATTCCACCCGCCAGTTGGGCCCCACTCCCCCAGTGGCTTCTTCGCGGGTCACCGCTGGAGGTGGAGGTCCGTCCCAATCTTCCTCCGCCTCTGGCATCTTCTTCCAGGGCGATGGTGGCCAGAACCCTGCTCCTGTGAGCTCCATGTCAGGGAACGACTGCTCTGGTTTTGGACCGGCTTCTGGTGACATGAACCAAATACTAAACAGCAGGGGAAACTCCTCCGGTCCAAGCGTTGGTGCCAGCTCCCTCGTCACTGACGCCAACTCAACACTCTCTGGTGGTGCTCAGTTGCAAAGAAGCACCAGCTTCAACAACGAGTCATATATGCGTATCCCTGCCTCGCCCATGTCCTTCTCCTCCAACATCTCGGGTTCTTCGGTGATGGATGGTTGCTCCATTGTGCAGCAGAGCCCTCTCCAAGAGCACGTGAGAAAACAAGGGCTCTCAACAGCAACATCCCAGTTAACACAACGGGAAACCCCAAATATAATGAATGCTCAGAAAAAAATGCAGCTTGATATAAGGCAAGAGGATATCCTGCAGAAGCAGTTGGTTCAACAGCTTATGCAGAGACATGACCCTATGCAGCTGCAGGGCCAGCAAAACCCACAGCTGCATGCTTATTTGCAACAGCAGAGACTAATGCAACATCAGCAGCAGCAGCAGCAGCAGCAGCAGCAGCAGATAATTCAATCCTTTTCTCAGATGCAACAAGCCCCTATCAACTTGCAGCAGCAACAGCAATTGTGGCACCATGTGCAACCTCAGACTCTTCAGCCAGTTACTCCTGTTAAGCGCCCCTTTGATAATGGAATATGTTCTCGCAGGCTTATGCAATATTTGTATCACCAGCGTCATCGGTCACCTGTGAGCTGATTCTTGCATATGCCCTGCGATTTGATATGTTCACATGATTGACACTCATATCATTGTCACATTTTTCGAGGTGTCCTAACAAAGTTCTTCTCTTTGCAGAATAATTCTATATTATACTGGAGGAAGTTTGTGGCTGAGTATTTTGCAGTACGAGCTAAGAAACGGTGGTGTTTGTCCTTGTATGATAATATGGGCAATCATGCCCTTGGTGTATTCCCACAGTTGGCTGTGGTAAGTGTTTCTTGTATTTCATACATCTTCAACTCAATGGTTGTTATTGTGTATTTTGTCGAGAGCTTGACATCCCAGAATCAACATATGCATGTTTGTCTACATGGGCAGGAAAAACACTTATCTGACTGCCTGCTTGCAAATGCATAAAAAATGCATAGAAATAGTTAGAGCAAATTAAAACAACATCTAGATTGACATTTAGAATGTGATGTGAAAGTAGGGTTTTGGTAGTATTGTTCCTGGTGGCTCACTACTCAACCAGAAGGAGAAGATTGATGGCATTCATTTTTTTATCATCTTGGTATTTCATACTCCATAAAGACCATGCTTTTCTCCCATTGAAGGACCAGATTATTTTCTCTATAAATGTAGGCTTTGTAATTGCATCAATGGTGTGCCTTAAAGCCACCTGCTCTAGTGTATACAATTCTGTTGTCTATTCTATCTATAATGTTTTCTATCCATTGTTATTCGACATATCAGCTTTCTAAAAGTTTCTTGAATTTGTACAATTCTGATCATTGGATGAACTTCCATCTGAAAAAATATCATTTTGTAACTGAAAAAAACAGAAAACCATATATTTTTTTCAAAGAAAATATGCTTATATTGTTATGTATATCTTAGCATGACAAGGCTATCTTACCCTTTTTATATATTTCTTGCACATTCTTTGCTTGTTTCAGGATGCATGGCAGTGCGACATTTGTGGTTCGAAATCTGGAAAAGGATTTGGTTAGTAGAATCATCTGTATTTATTCTGTTAGTAGGGTAGCTTCTTTGCCTTTGAAATTTACCTCACCTTAATAGACAATTTCACTGCTTTGAATTCATGTGCTTATTATTGCACATGCTTTCTCGTGACTGTTTCTTCCCCTTCTTAGTGAGAGGTGGTTCATCTCATATTTTGCTAGAGGTGGTTACTTTAGTTATGGTGTGTAAGGTTGAGCTTATGCATAATGTGTCTGTCTCAGTAGTATAGTAAGAGGAGAGATTTGGATATTGTTTTAAAGAAAGATCATCTGACTTAGTCTCTATATTGGCCAAGCCAAGCGTGGGACTTGGTCGAGGATTCACGTTCCTTGTGCTGACAATATTATGAAAAAAATCATAGTATCAAACTTCACAGCTTGTATACAGATTATTTTTTTCTTATTGTTTGACGTAATACAGTGACATACTAGGGAAATCAAGTTTTCTGATTTATTTTATGTCATAATCTTCTTTGTGTCCAAAATTCATTCAAAGGCAAATTTATATGATAAAACTTCAGGATGTTCATTTACTCTTTATATTATGCAATTGTAAATTTCTGGAAGTCTTGAAGACTTGCTCTTTTGGTTGTTTTGTTAGGGACCTTTAACTGAGTGGTTCCTGTTGAGGAGTAAATGTTTCTTTTATTCTTATAGATAGGAAGTTGTATGGCATTTTTTCAGTGAACTTGTAAACAATGGATTTAATTTGCATCAGCATGTATCATGCTGATAACTGGCTGACAAGTGTGTCAGAGTCTGTACCAGCAGGTGCAAGCCAATGATATTTGAAATGTTGTGTTATCACAACAACTCTTGCATTAATATTAGGATCTTTGTACTATTGGCATTGGAATAAGGCTCAGCAAACTCAACATCATGATTCAATTTGTATAAAATTTGGAAAGTTAAAAAAGATTAAGTTAAACAATATTATGTAGACTTCAATGTGTTGTCCTGCGAGGCTTCTCTCTTGATTCATAGAATATATGAGGAGCAACAGTTTCTGTACTGCAGCAATGCTACTAGATCTATTGTATGATTACTGTAACGCTTACCACAATTTAGATATTAGGCATCAAATTGTACTTTTGTAATTTATTTTCTCAATTAAAACTTCCCAATCAATAAGACATGTGCATGCAATTTTGGCTTCTCTGTTGGCTCCTATTGGTTGCTCCCAGAATTTGAGTGACTTGAAAATTTGTCCTGCAAAACATGCAATATAGCTCACCTAACTACATTCTCTGAACTTACCAAAAAAAAAAAAAAAAAAACTACATTCTCTGTGAACAATATATGTACAACTTTATCTATATGATAATGTATTGTTACAGAAATACTTCTTTCATATGATTTCATCAATCTTTATTTCTTTGCAAGTCTACTACTTGTGATCGATTTTCTAAGTTATTGTCCTTTATGCCTTTTTGCAGAGGCTACTTTTGAAGCACTTCCTCGGCTTTTTCAAATTAAATTTGACCGTGGTGTAATTGATGAAAACTTGTTTCTTGACATGCCTCATGAGTGCCGATTGTCCTCTGGAGCTATGGTATTGAAGTATGAAAAAGCTGTTCAAGAAAGTGTCTATGAGCATCTACGTATTGTTCGCCATGGACAACTCCGAATAATATTCACACCAGAACTGAAGGTTCCTAGTTGAATGAACTACTACCTTTCTTTCTTATAAACGGAATCTTGCTTATTGTTTCATTGTTACAGATTATTGTTGTAAACTAATTCATACTTTTGGTTTATGGTTCAGATATTATTTTGGGAATTTTGTGCTCGACAGCATGAAGAGTTTCTTCCTCGTAGATTGCTAGCACCTCAGGTATTTGGTTTATTTGTGACTATGTCTGCTCTGGGAAGTTCTTAAATATATTAAGAATGAACTGAAGTAGTAACTATGGTAGACAGCCAAATTTATGCTCTTAACTTTATAGATTACATATAATGACCTGATGAAATTTAAATAATTAATTGATGTTATGTGATACAGTAGCTTCTGCCATTCCTTTTAGGTTCTGATTTCACTAGGATGTCACTGCTTTTCTTCAAGAACATATTCTTTTTTCTTTGTAATGGATGGATTCTTTTTAAGTGCTCGCTGGCCAACTAAAAAAAAATCAGTTAGATAATCAATAGTTTCATTCTCTAAGACCATGCCAATTCTGCTTATTGATAATGCCTATAAAATTTTAGGGTTCAAGAACTATCACCATTTTTTAAATTAATTAGGTCATTATGTTGTTGTCACTAACAGCTCAGAGAGCCTCTTAATGTTAGGACAGATGCTTGGCACCAATTCATTACATAATCTATTAGATTCGTGTTCTTCTTTATGCTCTTAATTATGTCTCTGCTTGATGAATCTTTTATAATTGTCATCTTTTGCTAACCTAAAAGACTTTTTATTCAATTATATTGCCATATAGTTGGCACTCGGCACAAGGATTTTCTTTGTAAAAGAATGCTGATATAATCATGATGGCAATGTGAAAAACAAAAATATTGTATCCATCCCACTTGGTTCTTGAATCTAATATTAGCACATATGTGAGTCTAATATTAATATTTTATTTTATACCTGTAAATTGTGAGTCTGGATATGTGTTACACAAATACATACTACTATATATTAATTTGATCATGTTATGGGATTCATTTTGTTATGAATGCTTCTCAGGTTAACCAACTATTGCAAGTTGCTCAAAAATATCAAGCAGCTGTGTCTGAGAATAATACGGCTGGAGTTTCACATCAAGATTTGCAAACAAGCTGCAATATGTGAGTAAACGTATTTATGACATCTTGTTTGTAGGACACACTCAAACCTTTTGTATATTTAAAATTTCAAACTAAAATATTCTTTATTCATTGATTGTAAGCCCATATCTTAGATTACTTAGAACACTTGGTTTGTATAATGGTTGCATGAAAAGCACTTTAAAGATGGCTGCTATGTCATGAAGGTTGGTTACAGTGGAGCAAATTTTAGCACACATTTCTGGACAGAAACTGATTTCTGTCCGTCAGAATTTTTTTATTGAAACTTTGAGCAGTTTAGGTGGTGATACGGACATATTTGTTCCTATTTCTCAGCGTATGTTTGCATTGTCTGATGATTCATGAAAAGACTCAATACTCTAGCCTTCTTGTGATAATGTAATGCATTTGAAATATCTGCTTGTGAATATCGTCAGATAATGTAGTTAGTGTCATTGTCATGTGTGAATGACTAAATCCTCTGTCATTTTCTGAACTTAGTATCTAAAACTCAAGATTGTCAAATGTTCATCATATGCATAATCTTTTATCTTTTAGCGTTAGAGGCCTGGTGTGCATATGTTAGTATCTTGCCTTGAATCTTGATCTTATTCAAAAAGATGAATAAATAAGGTTGAAATTTGGGTGGTTAACTGAACTTTACCTTGTCTTGAGTGGACCCACTACTTTTGATTTTGAAACATCTGATTTTTCAAACACATGGATGGGTGGAGCTCTCAAGCAACTAATTCTGACAAGCTTTTTACACCTGTGATTGCCAATTTCGGAACCCTTACTAATTCTGATGCTCTATCTCTTTCAAGTTCAAGTCTCTCATCTTCTCAATCACTAAATGACTAAATAAACTGATTACATTAACAAAAGATCTTAGAAAAAGTTCTTCTGTAAAGGCCATTGTTTAAGGTTGAGGTGGCATCAGTACTAAAATGCACTGGCAGGTCTAAGTTTCTAATATAAAAAAGATTTTCTAATACTGGTCGGATGTACATAATGGCTGAGTTTATAATTCAGAAACTCTTTTCATTTGGAACTCTAGTTATCCAAGTGAAACACTAAGAGTGAATAAGATATGATAGAAAACAAAATAAAATATATGGGTTGATTTATTATGAAAGAATGGATGTTTAGGGCTATGAGCATGGTTTGTTTGATGATTTTCTAGACTTGAAATGACAACCTTACAAATTTGTTGTATTCAATTCAAGTCATTGTATTCTGAAGTTATTATTTAGTTTTCTTTGATTCTCTTGGTTGTTGAACGTGGTGATATGTAGGAATGTCCAAAGTGTACACAATCAAGAAAAGAAAGACTTTTTTTAAAATAGAAATAGTGCTTTGGATCACATTGAAGTTTCTGTGAGATCATTGAGATGGACTTCCAGTATTAATTTGTTTAGTTGTGAAACTTATCCAATTTGTTGAAAGTTTTGGACCAAATTTCTGCTACTAAATGTGCTAGTTCTCTAGGGAAATCATACGAAATGAGACAATATGGTGATCATTCCCATTGGATTTCCTATCAACTTTATCCTAATTGTGTAATCCTTTGACCTGGAACATCGAAAAGTTGAAATTCTGTTATTGGAAAATGTAGGTTGGCTTCTGAGCAGACAAAGGAAGGTCTAGTGGCTCGATTAGGTTCTTTCTAGGGATAGTCCGGGAAGTGGTAGGTGTCTGGTGGTTAAATTTACATTGCAAGAGCAGATTGACACAGATGCAGATGATACTTCCTTGTTTAGTATAATAGTTAATGGCAAAACTATATATATATATATATATATATATATATATATATATATATATATATACAATTATATACATATATATATATATATATATATGTATATATACATATATATACATATATATATATATATATATATATATATATATATATATATATATATATATATATACATACATACATATATATATAATCTCTTGTATTTCTTATTTGATGCTTCAATGCTATCTGCAAGCTAAATCCTAATGGAAAGTGGAAAAGAATATGTTATAAAACTTGGACTGTTGAAGTCTACCCACTTAGTTTCTGATTTCAATGAGATACATACTAGTTCCAAACTGATATGACATCTGAAAGTGGCATTTGTGAATCTGTTTTGCATGAACTAGTTAAAACTAGAACAGTCACAATTTCTCGTATAGTTTTGAAACAATAAACAGAAAACAGGCTCCCTTTGTTTAGTTGGTAAAAGATAGACATTCACAGTGTTGACGCATGCTCATGACCCTTGGCTTTGTGATGTGCTTTCTGCAGTTACTGTTACACAATGATCTGATTATTTTATTCTTTGTTTTAGCTTATTTTGATACAAAAAACTATTGGTACTTTTTTGTGCTTGATTAGTTTGTCCTCAGTTCTTCCTTTTGGCATTGGGTACTATATTTTAGTTGGTTTGTCGATGTGTTTGATTATCTAAATGCTTTATATCTAGGTTCTGTTTCATGATAAATCATTGTATTGAGCCATCACATGCCACACATAAAAGAAAATTATCTAAACATCATTTATATAACGTGACTTACTGGTCTAAGCTAGTGTGTCGACCAGCCAGCGGCACGGCACGTGCCACCCCATATTGGTGTGCTGAGTGTTGGTACGGCGAGGCATGCTGATGGCATAGAGAAAAGCCCAAAGAAACCTCATAAAATATCTAAAAAATAGGAAAAAATCTTATATTAGAGTTCTTAATTTGGAGTTAAATGTAAGTTTATTATAATTTCATCAAAAATATTCTAAATTAGGAAGGAATAGTGGCATATATCTTTTTTGAGTTTTGAGGAACAACGTTGTGGCACAGTCTGAACTATCCCTCCTTTGATATTGAATTGTTAAATTACGAGTTAAACTTTAAAATTCAAATGAATCAAGTAATAAATAGATTGATTGATGGATATATCTGGTTCTATCACCAAAAAGAACGATTGGACTCCACAAGTGGTGGATCGGGATCCTTGATCATTTGTATTTGTATATTAATATGGTATGTTTGTCAGACCTAATCCTAAAATTGCTCCTACGACATGGTATATTGATACATCGTATGTCATTGGTGCATCAATGTGGTAATGGTTATAGTATGATCATCGTGAATCACACGTGTCCGAGGTGGCTTCTGAGGTAAGTATGATTGTGGCATGTATTGGTGTGGAGGTTGAAGAATGCCAAAACTTCTACTTTCACCACTGACTTGCTGTTCTGTGTCATAAGACTGATCAGCCTCGAAAAAGAATGACCAACTATCACGAGACTACTATTGGCTATAAGATCTTCTATAATGTGATGGTTAGGAATACGATAAGCTTCGCTCTATATCTACGTCGTATAGGCTCTGTCACCTATACTCAAAATCATCGACTATCTTCCCGTTCCCCTTTGGTGTATAAATCTAACCAATACCTTGTTGAGCTCTATGATCTGAGTCAGTGATTCAAATAGGCGCCGCCTGGGCGCTCGCCCGAGCCTAGACGTTGGGCGCTTCGGGCGAGCGCCTGGGTTAACCAAGGCGATCGAACCAGGATTTTAGGTCTGGTTCGGTCCTGGTTCGGTCTCTGATGGTTAGTTGGTTCAATCGAACCAACTAAAATCGATATAAGTGAGAACCCAACCCTAACCCTCGCCGCTACCGCTCCCGATCCCGATCTCGCTGCTCGCCGCTGTCGCTGCTCGCAAACACTTACGTTGTCGCCGCTCGCCGCTGTCGCTGCTCACAAACGCTGCCTCTGTCGTTGCTCGCGCCTCCTGCTGCTCGCCGCTCCTGCTGCCACTGCTCACCGCTGTCGCTGCTCTCAAATGCTGCCTCTGTCGCCGCTTGCGCCTCCCGCTGCTCGCCGCTCCTGCACCCGCTCCCGCTGCTCGCCGCTATCGTTGCTCGCAAACGTTGCCTTTGTTGCCGCTCGCCGCTCCTGCTCTCGCTGCCGCTGTCGCCGCTCGCGCCTCCCACTGCTCGCCGCTCCTGCTCCCGATCCCGCTCCTGCTTCCGCTGCTCGCCGCTGTCGTTGCTGCTGTCGCCGCTCGCGCCTCCCACTGCTCGCCGCTCCCGCTCCCGCTGCTCGCCGCTCCCGCTCCCGCTGCTCGCCGCTCGCCGCTCCCGCTGCCGCTGCTCGCCGCTCGCCACTGCCGCTGTCGCCGCTCGCCGCTTCCTCTTTTCTCAGTTAACAGGCTCAGCAGCCCTTTACACTTCCTTTTAACAGTATACGTATACTGTATACTGTTAATATTATTAAGTTTATTTAAAATAATTAATTTTCAATACTGTTAATAGATTAATAATATATTATTTTGATTTTAATACTGTTAATTTTTATTTATTTGAAATTATTGCTAGGTTTCTTAATACTGTTAATTTTATATCTTAGATTTTCTTAATTTAATAGCATATTTTTTATTTAAAATTTTAAATAATTATATTTATTAATTATATTATATATTTTTATATTTTAGCGCCTCGCTTCGCTCGGGCGAGCGCCTAGCGCCTCGGGCGTTTTTGGACCTTGGCGCCATTTGACGCCTAGCGCTTTTTAAATCACTGATCTGAGTCTTGGTTGGCATGCATAAAATACTACTTGGTCCATATGCCACCCTGAAGCTGATTAGACGGAACCATCGACTCCCAAGTGTCGTCACCATCGTCAGTTAAGTCACTGCCATCTACATCACTGCTATGTTTATGGATCGAGTGGGTTGCTGGATATGATTGAGAAGTTATCTCGTCGCCTAACTCAATTATTTCCAATGGTGTGGCAGATACTTAGCCTTTCCCTATGCCTTTACACGCTAGGTGGATGATTGTTTTGGTTGGGTGTCATGACCTCGAGTAGTCTGACTCGTGGTTGTCCGGCTCCTTTCGTCATGTTTTGACTGAGGGGAACTTCTTTCTACTAGAGATATTCCTCCTTCTTCTATTGCCTCAGTGATAAAACGCAAAGGACGTGGAGGATCTCTCATCATATTAAGTAAATGATCATCTTAGTTCACTTCGACCCATTCCAACATTGGCTGCGAATCTTCATTGTAGTATTCGAGGTCGATGGGATTAATTTTTAGTTCCTCTGGCTCCTTGTCCAGGTCCACACACCACAACCTTAGTCGTATTTTGTAGTAGACATATACTAGTTTCTCTAACTATCTATATGATAGTTTGTTGTAGATCTTCATGCGAATCAATGCGACCGTTAACCAATTACATTCGTAGCCACTTAATGTTGTCATCTGTGGAGGTACACAAATCGTAACCTTAAATTGGGTGCGGACCCTCCTAATTGTAGCCACCACTCGATTGTAAAAAGATATAAATGACTTTATTCGCATAACAAATCATTAGTGATAATTTTAATTTATAATCAATATGTGTGTAACTTTCCCTTACTAGACGTTAAAGAATGAATCGATAGTTTCTTGGAATAGTTGGCCGTTCGTAATAGCATTTACTGCATCGACACTTTTTGGCAATAGTCGGTATATAACATTCCTTCATGCCGCCATTAAATCTGATCACGTACTAAGATTATACCGAAATTGGATGGTCAGATTTAGATAATATGTTGTAAGACAAATGATTTTGTTTGTAAAAAATTTTTGAATATTGAAATTTATATTATAAGTAACTCTTAATATGAATTTACATTCATTATGGATGTCTTGGTCCATATGAACTTCGATCCTATGGTCGATGATATGTAAGTATTGATCAGCCTTAAAATCATCAGCAAATGCTTTCTTGACCCCTCTTTTGTTGTATGCAATGTATGTCTAAGATGAGCCATTGCAGATGCTTCTCCATATCGACCTTACGGAGGATAACATAAAGTAGCTCCACTCCTTTTATAATTTCATTCACGGCCTTCCAAAATCTAGAAGAAAGAATTATCTTTTTTACCTTTTTTCCATCACTCGATTTTGAATATACTAAATCTGACCATTCCTATGATGTGACCATTGCCTTGTGACCCTATCTCTTTTGCTGGATTGATTTAAGACGATAAAGTTTATAGTAAACTAAGTGATGTGAGTTGGAGTATCTTACCATTTGTATATTTCTATATCGAGTGGATCCAATGATGGTTGTATATAAATCTTGTCATCGATTATGCCGTTGCCACACATTTTCTTACTAATGGTAACTCACCAATATCCTTCAACATAAGATCCATGCAATGACTTGCACATGGAGTCCAAAACAATGTTTTCCTTATTTCAATCAATTGTCAATCGGTCTTCTTAAAATTAGTTCCATTGTCTGTGACAATCTGGATAAGGTACTATAGCTCGATCTCCTCTACCACGCTGTCCATTAGGTTCTCAATCTAGTTTGCATCTTGAATTTTATCGGGAGCATTAACCGACTTATGAAATATGACCTTTCTGTTGCAATACACAAGAAAGTTGATGATGCTTATTCTTGTAGGCCCTGCCTAACTATCGCATATCAGTGTCACCTCATAATCATCCCATCGCTTCTTGAAGGATTTGATCCAATCCTTCTGTTCTATCACATTCTCATCTAAATAAACGTCATGTATCTTCTTCGGCGTTGGAGGTTCAATCCCTGTGCCAGCCTCTTGGATTGAAGATACCATACTCTGATACCATACCCAAGCATCATCATGTGCTTGTTACTTTGGAATCATATCGCTACAAAAATTTATCAAATTTACAAGTTGCGATTAGCCTTAATTTTTGTCGAATCAGAAATAATAAGTTGTGATTATATGTAATGAACCATAGTTTGCTACAATAAACATATCAATCATCCTAATAGGCATTAAATACATATAATTGATCAAATATAGGTTAAAATATGCTAAATTTATTATTAAATCCGCTAGTCACAGTATTAAAAAAACATAATTACTCCCTAATTAGCCCTGTTTTACCACTTTAAACATGATAAATACCCCAATAGGCATTAAATACATAGAATTGACCTAATATTGGTCAAATTAGGATGAAATCATCATTAAATACACTAATCACAACATTAAAAATTCTAATATCTCTCTAATTATCCCTCTTTTACCATTATAAATATGACAAATACCCTAATAGGCATTAAATACATAGAATTAACCTAATATTGATCAACTTATGATGAAATCATCATTAAATCTACTAATCACAACATTAAAAAAACCTATTACTTCCTAATTAGTCCACTTTTATCACTATAAACATGTCAAACATCTTAATAGGCATTAAATACATAGAATTAACCTAATATTGGTCAAATTATAAAAAAAATATTATTAAATCTACTAATCACATCATCAACATAATTACTCCCTAATTGGCCCTCTTTTACCACTATAAATATGTCAAACATCCTAATACGAATTAATTACATTGAATTGACCCAACGTGGATCAAATTTTGATGAAATCATCATTAAAACCATTAATCATAATATTAAAAACCTTAATGAGAACCTATTTAAATCTCATAAACCATCTTAAACATGTAACTTACCCTAATATGCAGTAAATACAAATATTTCACCAAGTATACGTCTAATTTTGATTAAGTCAGTACTAAACAGACTAATCACATCATTAAAAGCTTTAATTACTCTCTGATTAACCCAACTCTATGATCATAAATATGTCAAACAACATAATAGACACTAACCTCATAGAATAGGGTTAATCATCTCATAAATCAACAGAAATCTAGAAAGAGAATACATACCTCTTGATTAGAGTGGTCATCCACTAACTTAAATGTTAATCCTCCAAAAGAGTCCTCTAAATTTGATCCAATTCACAAATCGCAGCATCGCTTGAATTTAAGAGTGTGAAAATGTGAGAATGAGTGGGAGATATGAGTGAGCATGAGTTTGAGAGAGAGAAAAAGGTTGAAAGAGGAGAGAGGAAAGGGTTTAAAAACCCTTTGAACTGATTCCAGCGGTTAAATTGACTATTGGAAATAGGTAAATCTCAGCCCTTAATCAGTATCGATCGAAATCCAACATTATTGATTGGTGCAGGTTGGTAACAATCGAGTTTTGATCGAATCGCTAGATACAGAACCTGTATCGCTCGATGTAGGGTACCTAACACTTAACCGTCCGGTACAAGGTTGTCCGTTTGTCGATCACCCATCAAACTGGTACATACCACCCATACCATATCATATTGGGCAGTACAACGAACCTTGATATAACCATTAAGTAATCAACATCTATGGATTCTAGATAGATTGTTACTTGATAATTTTCACTTGGTTAAATGTGTGGATGATTTATAATATTTTTGTTGATACTTAATACGAGATGAATTATAGGCTCAGACATCTTTAGTTTTCATGATCAATATAACATGTCATAATATTGGTGGTTTCATGATTCGTGATGTTAAAATCCATGACTCTTGAATGATAAGATGTGTTGGATGAACACAATGATGGGACATGATACCAAATTTTGGCCTAAAATTTAAATAGAGATTATCCTTGAAATATTCAGTTTGCTATTTATTACTCTTCCACAAGTCACTTATGTACATTGCGAAAAATCAATTTCTTGGAGCATCTAGTACTAGTGGAGGTGCCTTTTTTTGTCTCTATGTCGTAAGATGGTTCCTGTTGTGACGTCAGGATATGTCTGCTAACTTTTTTGTTTGATAAAATGATGCCATGTGATGCTTTATTTCTATCTCTGAGTGTGCTCATTTAATTGTGATATATAGTTTTCTTAAAATAAAATGTGTAAGCTTACCATGTGATGCATCTTCTTTTATAGGTTTTCAACAGCAGGTCGTCAGCTAGCAAGAAATTTGGACTTACAATCATTGAATGACTTAGGATTCTCCAAAAGATATGTTCGGTGCTTGCAGGTAATTGAGAAGCAATTTTGGTGCTCTATGTTTTGTTCAGAAATCGACTTGTGATAGTGTTCCTTTTAATTTTTCCATAAAGTTGTTGATTGTTCATTTGCTTTCTCAGATATCTGAGGTTGTCAGTAGCATGAAGGACTTGATTGATTTTAGCCAGGAGCAGAAGATTGGACCAATAGGTATAAAGATAGGATCTAATAGATTATCTTTTTATTTTTCTTAGCTAGTTTGCCTTGAGTTGTCACTTGTTCTGCTTCACAGATCTATCTTTCTGGCTGAAACATTCTCAATCCAGGGTAATGTTCATACTGCATTTCATGCTAAAGCATCAGCATTCGAACATCAAAATTATATATTTTGAAAGGCCATTAGCGTTATGTATGTTACCAAGTAAACAGTCTTAATCAAGGTTTAAAGTCTTGGTCCAATACCGTTTCAAGACCTTGAACTATTGTAACACCCTCGATTAGTCCCATATCGAAAGTGGACAAGATTAAGATTGACTTATAAGGGATCTGATGAGTGTACTACTATCAACTTCAACTTAAGCATTTTGGTCAGTGGTTTGGGTCAAACGAAATTGATAGGCTAGTTAGCTCATCAGGCTCGGGTCGTGACATTTGGTATCAGAGCTGACCTAATATTTGGGCATGGTGAGGGAGCTCGAGTATGAAAAGACTACCCGTGGATGGAGTCAGAGGACTCGTCACGGCGTGAAACCACCACTAGGCTATTTCTCACATGCACCATGCTAGCTAGTGGTTTCGGCCAAATAAAGTTATAGGTCAGTTAGCCCATTTTAGCTATTTGACTTGTATCACCTGGCATTGCTGAAAGAAATAACCTAAAAAAATGAATACTGACCATATTTAAAATCTTCATCTTAACAAATATTCTATCAAACATAATCATATTTAGCAATTTTGTTAGCTTCACCCAAGATATCTAGCAATAAATGACCTTGAAGTTGCAAGTTTTATCTTTGTTTTATGACATACGTCACACGTGTGCACGTGCCCCATTGTCATGTGTTATTATTAGGTTTAATTGTTTAAGAGTGATCTGTCCTTTCCTTTATTATGCTTTATTTCGATTTTTGAGTTATTATGATTTAAATTTTATGTAAGCCTGAATAATTGCTTTAAATGTTTGAGCTTGATATAATGAGTCTTTGTATTTGCTTGTATTTCCTGAATTGAGTCTCAGCTAAGGAAATTACTGGAAAATAGCTAGTATTAGTTGGTTCTAAAATGTAAGTAAACATTTTCTACAGAGAGTTTGAAGAACTATACCAGGCAGGCTTCAGCAAAGCTCCAAAAACAAAAGCTGGAGACGGAGCAGCTGATGAGTTATAATAGTCTGCCAGGTGATCAGAGTGCCGTAAGCAAAGTAATTGGCATCCATCCAGGGTTAAACAGTTACATGAACAACAATATAGCAGCTAACCAAGTTGTTAATGGCAGCCAGCAAAGTGTCCATGCACTAAACAGCTACCAGAATATGCTGAGAAATTCTCTGAACTTGAAGCACAATTTGCTTCAACAGGATGCTTCGAGTTCTTTGTGTGCCTCCAAACATGCACAGCAATTTCAGGGTTCATCATCAATTATAACAAATGCATCTGCCAATAATTTATCTGGGCAACAGCAGCAGCAACCTACATTGGATGGTTGCTTGCCGCAGCAGAACAGTGTGCAAACCTCCCAGGTGAACCAACACATGCAGCAACATATAATTCAGCAGCTGCTGCAAGAGATGATGAATAACAACAAGGCAGCACCACAACAATCTCTTATTGCTTCCAATGCAAATGCTAATTTGGCAGCTCGAGATGCAATTGGAGGTGGTATCAGTGGATCAATCAGAAGTGGGATTGAGATGCAAAATATGCCCTCAAACTTTCCTAATAATGGCACAGGGGCTGTTTCAAGCAGAAGTAACTGTTTCAAATCTGCTGCCACTGCTGGCAACCCCATCCATAACAGTGGCAACAGTCTTAGTTCAAGGCCTGACTTGCCTCAGAACATGGATTTGCCAGAAATGGATCACATTGCTCAAGAATTTTCGGAAAGTGGCATGTTCAATGGGGATTCATGGTGACGTTAAATATGTTTAATGGTGTGAAATTATCTATAAGTTTGTTGAGAATTTCTTAACTCCACTTAGTATCTGCAAAATACTTCAACATATATAAGGATTCTTATGTTGCCATTATGAGGTTTCCCACTTTGAAGTGCTTGGTTGCACAATGGTGATTCTTGGAATTATATTTCTTGCTTCCTGTGTTGGTCTTTACTAATGCATGGAACCCCTTGGAGGATTGTAAATGCAATGATGAGTTTGGAAGATTTGCTGCCCTTTTGGTGAAGTAGTTGCCAGCAGACACATTACCAGAGTCATTTTTGGCTTAATATGTTCATCCATTAAGTATCTGTCATATAGCTATCTAGTTTTCTGTTTAGCATCATCCCTTTAATGTAAATATCACAAATGCTAGCCTGGGCAACAACTATATGCATGAAACATTGATATTTGGGCAAACTTTGGTATGCTCACAGAGGAGATGTAAAACATAATAAGTATTTTTATATTTATCATAGGCCATCACATTATCTATGTTTTCGATACTATAGATGGATTAGTCTTCACTTCACTTTAAGGTGCATTTTGTTGCCTACAATTTTTCTCTTTTTCTTGCATTTTGGTGGGTACTTAATTCCTTTAAACATGGCATCAACCCATTACTTGACAATCACAATTCCACAACCTTTCTAGAATTAGCTTATATTGTTTTGGATTGGCTTCATTAATTTAAAAATCTCTATTACAAGGCAATGCTTGCCCTTTCAACGTTTAGCATACTTGATATGAAGGGAATTGACATGGTAAAAAAGTCTTTGCAATATAAGATCGAGGATATGGTAAAAATATCTTCGATCATATATATATCTATATCAATTTGATATATTTGTTAGAATCAATTTTAAAAATTATTTTCTGATATAGTATACTGATACATCGTATGTCATTAGTATATCAATGTAATAATGATCGTAGCCTAATCGTTGTGAATCATATATGTCCAAGGTAGTTACTAAGGTAAAGACGATTGTGACATGTATTGGTGTAGAATATGAAGAATGTTAGAACTTCTGCTTTCATCACTGATATACTGTTTTGTATCATAAGATCAATTATTATACCATTGTTCGGAAAAATATAACCAATTGTTATCATATTATTTTTTACCATAATATTCTATATAATACGACAGCTATAAATACGATGAGCTTCACTATATATCTATATTGTGTAGGCTTTGTCGCATTTGCTTAAGATCATCCATTGTCTTCTCTTTCCCTTTCTTTTTTCGTATATAAACTTGGCTAGTACCTTATTGAGCTCTATAGTATGAATCTTGAGTAACATGTGTAAAATACTGCTTATCATTCTATGCACTACTCTCAAATTGTGTAGACGGGGCCGAGGCATTACTGTTCATGTCGTTGTCAAGTCTCTGGATCAAACTAGTTGTTGAATACAATTGATAATGTGTCTTATCACTTTTATTGATTCTTTTTCAACGGTGCAATTGATGCTTTTATCTTTCTCTTTACCTTTGCTTTTACATGCTATGCGAACGACTCTTACGAAAGAAATGATTTAAAAAAATTATTTTCTATGGTTCAAATGGTCAAATTGATCTTCTAAAATAGAGCAATCTAAGCCTTTGATCGATAATGATCGAAATTCGATTGTTACCGTTCAATACAGGTCGATAACAAGTACAAACCTCGTATGAGGTTATGTAACGAGTATTGCCTAATAGATTGTAGTCCACATATTGATTTCTTGTCAAATCAGTATATACTGTCCGTATCGTGTCCGTATCGACGACGAACTCTAATGTAGATAAGATTGTGGTACCAAAGTAAGTGAATGTATAAATTTATCAAGCAGTTTTTTAAATTATAGTAAGTCTAATTTATTATCATCACATCTATATTTTAAATATAATATTTATTGGATGAAATTTTAATCCTCAAATCATATTTGTTTAATAATATTGAATGATACAAATCAATATATAACCTAAAATACTATTCTGATGGTTCCCCAATATCCCAACATCAGTCCGGTACCAGACTTCACCAACTAAGAAGCGAAATGATCATCATCATCATCATCATCAAAATTGCAAGCATCCAAAATAATATCATGGCAATGCCAGTCAAACACATCAAGAATTAATAGCCTAAGGAAAATAAAGTGAAAAAGATCCAACCCAAAAAGAAGCTGTTTGCGATGAGACCAACCAGCAGAATAATAAGAATGACATAAGAAAAGAATCGTGAGAGCTGCCGAACACCAAATGGACAACAGGATGGCAGCTATTCATGGGATCTTAATAGCCTTAATCCCACCTACACATGAACAATCTTGCCACTACCATCACCATACCGAGCTTTATCATGACATCTGAAAAGATGAATTGAAGGATAGACACTTGAAATGTTGGTAACACATCACTCTGGACGATCGAATAACAGATACGACAAATGAGGTTCTTAGCTATGTACACCTGTATTCGAAGTACGATAAAACAAAAGGCATCACATAGTTTCGCCGCCTCCACAAGCTTGTCTTTTTTTTTTTTCTTTTCAACTGCAAAAGCTCATTGTTTCTTAGGCGTCGCAGCTCCACCTCGATGATGGCACACAGTTCAGGTAGTGGCACCAGTGGCAGTGGTCGTTCCCATTCAGTCCCCTAAAGAGCATGACTAAGCCGACTACGAATCTGCACAAGAAACAGCCGGATGTGAGCAGAGAACCAAAGAATGTGATAGGCAATAGCAACACCAACATTGTATTTTGACCAATCATTGGTAATAAAAGCAAGAAGTTGTCAAACAATACTGCTGGTTAATGCATACTGAAATGACTTTTATAGAATGTGGTAAAACCAATAATGTTTGATGCTAATCTCAAATGCTTATGCATAGTGTGAAATTTTCGGGAAGACTTACCCAGCTATCAGCAAAAGCAATGCAATCACCCATAAGACATATTGGTAAGCTTTGTACTTGGATGTAACCTGGGCTGAAGCGGGGAGATCATCCCGTTCCAGCCAGCCGAACTGGGGCCGGACTAATAGAACAAAACCCAGGAGGAAACCTGATAAGAACCCTCCAATGTGGGCAAAGTTATCGACATGAGGAAATAAGCCTATACCCAAGTTGATCGCGATGATGACCACAAGAGTCAATAGAGCTGCAACCTAAAAATTGGAATCGTATCTGTTAGACTGAGGTGCTAAACTAATCTAAACTCCTATAAATTCAAACTCCACAAAAAGCTTATAAATATTCACCCTATTGGAATAGATAGTCCAATTTATAATAAGTTCTGAAAGCATCGCTCCGAGAAGTCCAAACAATGCCCCTGAAGCACCGACCGAGATGCTCTTCTTTAGGAGAAGAGCTGAGAGCACAGCCCCACCAAAGCCTGATAGGAGGTATAGTATCCCGATGCGCACTGCAACACAGAAAAATTAGAGACAAGAAATGATTGACATGTCGACACCATATTCAAATAAATTAACAATCCAACATGGTAATTTATTTGACTTAGGTGGTTCAGAAACAATATAAAGAAAGGTGGTCCAGAGCACATGGCTCCTGTCAATGTAGGATCTAAAGGACAGCTATCGTGCATAATTTTATCCTGCAAATAGAGAGATTGTTTTCACAAGTTAAATCCTCGTCACCTAGTCCACAAAAGAACAACCTTACTGCGACACCAAGTGGCGTTCTCGGTTTAGAAACAATACATTGTATAACATTAAGATACAATGCATAGTAGCATCTGACATTTTCAACCTCATGTTTTCTGTTGAATAAAAGGAGAAATTGAAATGGACAATCACCAACTCCAAATGATCAGAAATCATTCCATGAGAAGGCAAACAATGGCTGCAACATTTCTTAACCATATTCACAAAAACAAGAAGCAAGAGTAGTAGATACAAAGCATCAAACAAGAACAAAGCTCACCAAATCCAAACTGCTGTTCGAGGCGAATTCCAACAAAGAGCAAGCTCAGCATGTTGGCCAGCAAATGGATGATCCCGGCGTGCAACCAGATACAGGTGACAAGCCTCCAGCCTTGGCCTTGATGGACTACTTTGTTCCACTCAAGAGCCCCCAGCTTCTCCAATCTGCAAAGAAGAGGGCGAGCAAGTCAGAGAGAACAAGCTCACTCCACGAAGTACCAGATAAAGAACTCGAAAAGCAAGGTAGCGACGCGTACTAATCCACTTCACTCTATGTTTAGAGGAAGAGAAATCAAACAGTAAATGCTGGGAAACGAAGTCTACAAAGATTCGAGAAGAGAAAGGGAAAAACAGCAGCAACAACAACATCGAAATCTAAAGCTAATCGGTGAAGTTGAAGGTGGAGAGGGAAAAAGAACAAGAGGGTTTGGTCAAACAACATGAAATCGTTCTTTTCCTGCATCGCAGACGAATAAAAATCCGAGCTTTATCAGAATACCGAGAAGAAGGGATGGGGAGAGGGGCTTACGTGGAGGAGGAGGGCCCGAGGAGGGGGTTCTCGCGGACGGGCTGGAAGGAGACGCGGTGGAGAAAGCGGGCGGCGCAGGAGCCGAAGGGCCCGGGGTGGGCGGGGCAGTTATTGACGTACATCTCCGCCACGAACACGGCCACGCACGCCACCACGATGAGCGGCACCAACCACGCCGTCCACGCCCTCTCCTCCGCCTCCGCCTCCTCGTAGTAATACGCTCCTCCGCCCGACCTCTTCCCAGCTCCGCCCGTGCCGGCCTCGACGTTGGCCATCTCGGTCAGCGGCTTTCCTCCTTCTCCTCGCTCTCCGGCGCCCGAAGGCGGGGGCTTTAAGGCCGCGGCGGGGGTGGCGGAGGGGCCTTGCGTCGCTTCCAAGGAGGGATTGGGTGGCCAATGATGATGAGCTGGGGGAGGTTAACAGCTCATGAAAGGGGAGTGAGAATGTGAGCAAAGCTGTGATTTTAGTTCTACACATGGAGGATTTGGTGGGGAGGAGGTGGTGGTGGAGAGTGGGGCAGCAGGGGATGATGGCGGCGGTTGGGGGGTGACGAGTAGTGGTGGGCCCCTGGATGACACCGCCAACCGCCACCTCATCGCTCGCCAGCCACCACTGGCGTGAAAATCTTCCCGATAGATACGTAACAATCGACCGGAATCTGGCGAAGATCGTGAGATGTATCAAATCGGTCAAAATTGCCACTAAGCTCTTATTATCTTAATCCTTCGAAGTCACGATTTGGTAATTATATATTATATCTTATAATTAAATTTTTTAATATTTTTAATATTTATATTTAAAAAATTTTCATTGAAATATCTATAATTATCAAAGTGAAACATCTAATTCTATTTACCTTAACGTCAATGATTTTATCGATCGAAGTATAAAAATGATAGATAATAATTTTAATATTCTAATTAAGTTTTTGATGATGATGAATGACGTCACTAAAAGTTGTTATGGATGAGGTGAAAGAGTGACGATAAAAGATAAGACAAAGAGAGAAGAGAAAGAAGACGACATAGATGATCGCTCGATATCTACATCGGTATCGATATAGATGCAAATGTCGAGCGGCTCTTTCGTCGCTCTACATTTACGTCAACACCGATATATCACCGAGCAACATCGACGCAAATACAGAACATCGACATCTGCGTCGTCCTCTTCCTTCTTATCCTTTACGATGTCCTCGTTTGCTATCACCGAAAACATAACTAAAATATTAAAATTATCTTTTTACCTATCATTTTCATGCTTTCATCAGTAAATCGATGACGTCATGTTAAATAGAGCTAGATGTTTTACTTTCATAACTAAAAAAATTTTAAATATAATTTTTTAAAATCTAGAAACCAAAATATAGATCTAACTAATCTATAATTAGTCCAAATCTATAATTTTTAAAAAGCCGACTCCATGACTTACACCATGGACTTCTCCATGGTATGTGACATGAAGTGTAAAGTATAAAGCATGATGTGGTACTTGAGGCAAAAATTTTCTACCGGAAAAAAAATAACATGAGGAGCAGTTGACTTATAGATACCATGGAAAACAATTTCAAATATTACAAACAAGTCATTGTAAATCTTATGGTGAAAAAATCAAGAATACAAGCCAATACAATGACTTTTGCTGGAGGCACTAAGCAGATGGCAGCAGTGTTCAGAGTTTTGTTTTGCTCTGTGTAGCATATTTGAATTCATCTTTTTAATATTTGATCCATCTTGTTTGTATTTGATCATCCATTTCATTCTAAAGTATCTGATGGAATAGAAGGATCAACTTGAACCAAATACAATGATGTGCAATCAGGTTGCCAATGTTGAAGTTGGAAGGATAAATGAGAGAAGATGGTTGATCAAGAAACAATTTGTTTATCCTGTGTGTTCATAAACTTATCATTTTGATATTAACTTCATCTATGGAAAAAAAATTTATGGACTTTTCTTGCCATGAATTAAATAACATGGTCACAAGAGATCAGCCAACAGGTTATATCAACCATACAGTTGGATTATCAAAAAAAGCACTTACCATGACCATGGTGGCTCATGATGGCAAACTGCAAATAAGCAACATGTTCAGAGTCTGTACAGGCATCTAAAAGATGTCAACTTAAGAATAAAAACAAAAAAGTTCAAAAATCTCAATCAGTGTTAGCTCCTGCAGTATGAAACAATTTTAAATATAAAATGGAACACCATGAAAAAGTGAATCCAAAAACAAAACAATGTTACAAGTTAGGTGCTACAACCCTTGGGAGTCAATTAATATCATAACGTTTCTTGTGACAACCGAAGAAAATGCTGCTGGTGAACCAGCATGGCTACCTAACGTTCTATTGCCTTTTGTTTGAGAGATGTAAGATGCTAATAGCAGTTTAAGCAATGTAATCGACAACACTTTACTCTGTCTCAAAGCTTGGGTCCATCAGGTGCCACACCGGTCCCCCTTTTTGTCTGCGATCATCATGTCTTCGGAATCATTTCATCCTTCACTGCCTTGTCATCCTTTGTTTTCTTGATTCTATTTGATTTCGCTGCATAATTTAAGCAACCAAAAGTCCAGATGATTTATTCAAACAAAAAGCCCTAAAAGAAGTAAATAACTAACCAAGAAAACCTCTTCAAACATACTAAATATTAACAATAGGTTAAAAGGTACAACCATATAAATGACATGCATGAAACTCGGCCTCAAGTTACTTCCAGCCCAGTGCAGTGCATAAAAAAATTATATATATATATATATATATATAGAAGATTTTTCTGAAAGCTACCTAAATTTGAAAAACCTACCATTCTATGGGATTCCAATTTACTAAACTACATCCAAATTATGATTCCACCAGATAGAGTGAACTTCAAATGTTCAGACATGTTCTCTGCACATGTTGATTAGTTATAATTAGCTTGCCTTCTACTTGAGTATAAGATGTTTGCAGGAATTATATACAGTATATAGCACGCCGAAGCCAATATGTTTTAATACAAGCATTAATGTGCAACCCAGATAGTAGATTTTACTGGAAAGTTTGCGGCCAAACTTCAATACTTCCACCATTTAAGTTTCTAGTTGCTGATATCAATTTAATCACCGTCTTGTTAGCTACTTCAAACTAATCATTGGTGTTGAACTGAGCCAAATTCTCAACTTTCAACTTGTTTAAGAATAGTTCCATTAGAATGATGACAACTTTTCAGCTTTGCAAGAATCGTTCCAACCATTCCTCAACAAAAGATTTAATGCATGTGGTGCCCATCAGCACATCTTTGTATCAACACAAGATATTTTGTAGCTGCCTTCAAGCCATGATTTCGAAAGACAAGTTTAAAGCCCCTCATGGCAGACATACATCAAGAAGCTAACTTATCAGCAATCTCATGACCAAAATGGACAATGATATGCTCGTAGTTTCACAAAGGAAGGTTCCCCTAAGGTCATGTGTTCTCTACAATAAGTGTTAGGATCTCTCCATTTTTACTTTTCTTGAGCTACAGACTTCTGCAATTGATTAATACGCTTAGTCTATTTCCCAGCCTTCACATGAGCCTTTCCCTCTACATGCAAGTATGATGAACATGTCAATATAATATCATGTATCTGTGCCAATTTTGAGCCCACATTTCGACTCAGATAAACAGGAAGCATTCTTGTGAGTAAATACACCGATCCAAAACAAAATTCCTAACAAAATCAAAGGAGAATGACATCAAAATTTATTCAAACATCGTCGTCTTCCAAATAAATTCGTCAAATTATCTCCAAAAGCAATCATATTCAACTGATGCCATTCTACACATCAAAAATCGACTTCCAATGTAACCCTACAAATTTGTAGTATCAAGAAACTAATACCCCACTAAGAATCAAGATATCATAAGCCAAAGCAGGTCAAGGAAACAACCAATCAACGCGATTTTCGATGGTAACTCCCCCCATCCCAATCAACCCGATCGCCAATACCCCCAAAAAGAAAGGATAGAGACTTCAGGACCTCGAGACCTGACGCAGATTCTTGGAAGAAACAACCAAAGAAAAGGGAAAGCTTTTTGACGTACCGCCAAAAGAAATGAAATTGGAGAAGAAATTTACCGGTAAACAAGGAAGAATGGAGGAGAAGAAGAAATCCTCCTGTCTCCGGCATTCTCGCTCCGCGTCCGGAAACGGAGGCCCTAATACGAGGTACATCAACCCCAACATTTAAAAATTTACGATAACGCCATTGCCACCGACGCCCATTATATATAACGGTTTGATATAAAGCTTTCAAAGCTATATCGCCGTTACAATCGATATTATCTAACTAGCTTCCGTATATACCGGTTTATAATTATCTAACCATCCCATTTATAATGGAAGGCGGAAGGGAACACCAAATCCAATCCCTTTGAATTGTTTTGCTTTATTTTATGTATCTCATGTAGATTAATATTTCACTTCTTGTAAACTGAAGCTGATGATGCTTAAGTTGACAGTATGAGACGAGTTGGTGAAGAACATGACCTTTGCAACATACATGAAGAAGAAGAGCTCAATCAAAAGGGGTGGCATTAATCCAAGAAGAAGCATTTGGTCCCTGTGAGACCACTCAAGAAAAGACACAACATCATGTAGACATCACTGCTCCTTCAATGACACCATCTTCAGTGATCCCTTTTGCACCTCCATCCATTTTAGCTTCTCTGCCAGTACTGTGAAGAAGGTAAGGTGATGAGCTCTGAATCCATTCCAATGAAATAGAGAGAGGACTTTGTGTAGTCAAACCATGCATGTTTTGTTCATGTCTAAATATTCTACCTTGTGAGGCAGAGATGCTGACCCTACAAAACTTCTTACTGGTTTAGAGCCTGTGTTGAAAACATTTGCAATTCAATTCAGATATCAAGTATTTAGAGGCACTTCTCAGTTGTCTTCATACTGACAGATTGTTTCCACCTACCTTAATACCAATGACAGTGACAACCACAGCAAGCCTTTATTTGCCAACTGCATGATTGTCCTTTGCATCTTTCTCACCATCCAATCTTAATCTCATTGCCTTCTGTTTAATCTGTAGACTTGCAGCTCTGCAAATTGTTCTTGGTGATCTTGTGTCTCCAACTAAGAGTCAGATCAACAGCCTGAGAGAGTGTGAATTATGAGAATAAGCTGTGAAGAGTGTTCTTCATAAGTAATTACATATTCTTAAGTTGACATGACATGTGGACGATGAAATATCATGTCATCATCAATGCTAGGCGGAGTTGAATGCTTTCTCAACTCGACATGTTACTTATTGACTTAAGTATCGGAGGGTCAACAAGCCTCCGATGCATCTTTGTTGATGCTTCGAACAATCAAAATATATATTACAATTCTATTCAATGATGATTTCTGCAATCTTCTCTACTCGAACACGTTTCTGTTTGAAGTTTCCTTCACTCCACCATGCTCAAAACCCTCAAGATTAGTGATTGATTCCTCTAAGCAATAACAATGACTGACTTGGGAGGATGGATTAGACCAAGTCGCACAAGTTAAGCCATTAAAGAGGACCAAACCATGTCCGAGGTTTTCCAAAGGTGACGTAGCCTGCTGTTGACAAGGTGTTCCAAGGTTGTCCCTTGCCTTGGCAGAAGTGTTCTTCCACGTTAAGATGTCAGGATTCATTTCATTCCACCAAACCATCATTTACCTGCGTGAGACGGATGCATCAAAGAAGAATGGTGCATCGGTCTAAGAATTGACAGCTTCTGATGTGAATTCTGCGTGGGTGGAATCGGTCCTTGAGCGTGTTGCTTGACTGGGTGTGCGAGGTCCAAAATATGGAGCTTGCAGCTGACGGTTCACGCGCATGGACAAAGATAAGAACCTTGGCGTGTCTCTTTCCCCTTCCTTTGTTACTATGTCTTCCTTTGACATTGTTGCATTGTTTTGGGGTCTCCCATTGATGCATGCTATATATTGCTGAAGAGATTCTCTCACCCTATCTATCTCCGTCTGAGCCGATGGGGAACTGTTTGTGGTGCTCCGCCTCGGGGAAGCGACTGATGACGGCAGCCAGGGATGGCGACGTAGAGGAAGCTCGGATGCTGCTGGAGATGAGACCAGGCCTGGCCAAATACAGCACCTTCGGCGGCCTCAGCTCGCCGTTGCACGTAGCTGCCTCCGGAGGCCATTCTGAGGTCCTCTTCCTGATTCAAGCAACAAAATTTGCATGAAATATTGCATGTTCACAACATTATTTTCGTCAAAAATCGGAATCTCAAACTAAGTATTCGTTCAGTTTAAAGACAAGAAAAATATATATCAGGACTGAGAACTTGCTCCTTTTTCAGCAGAAAGTAGCTGTCTGTTGATTTTGTGCACAGATTAAATCACTTTAAGTTCAATCAATCTAACATTTTTCTGATTCAATGATCACTTTAGCTAACTAAATTTCTTACACAGTATTAGGAGCAGTTCATGACTTCTCTATGCAACGTAAAGATTCTTTCTTCTCTGCTCAATGAACAGTGTGGTAAAGATTCTGTCTTCTTGCCAGATTGCTATGATGTTGCTGGAGTATGGAGCAGATGTGAACTTCAGGAACATCTATGGACGGGTGAGCACTATAAGCCTTAGCCTTCAAATCTCTATTCATCTCTTAACTACTCAAGAAGTCTTAATCTTTCTGCCCTGCACTTCAAGACTCCTTTGATGGAAGCATGCAACAATGGCTACTGGGAGGTCGTGCAGACATTGCTGCTGTATAAATGCAATGTATGTGTAAATGTGTAAGCATTCATTATCTGTTCTAATTTGGCTAAATAATTAGACTACTGAGCTTTGAAGTCTGTCAAAGGTTTCAAGAGCAGAGTACCTGAATGGCTGGACAGCACTGCACTTTGCAGCTCAAGGTGGACACATACCATGCATCAGGCTACTGGCTGCAGACTTTGCACCTGCTGTTCCTGATGCAGCGACCAATTCTTCAGAGGATGAAACACAGAGAAACCTCCCTAATTCTTCCTATGATCAACAGTAAGTTGGTTTGAAGAGATTAAAAAACGCAACTCCAAGTGCCTCTCTTAATGTTTTGGCAATCTGACTTTTGTTTGTTTGTCACAGCTCACTCTCTAGATTTATCAAGAAGACTGCCAATTGTGGCATAACAGCCCTGCATTTGGCAGCATTAAATGGAAATGTTGATTGCGTTCATCTACTGCTTGATCTACACGCTGATGTCTCAGCCACGGCCCTCTCACAAAACACTTCATCGGCAGCCTCTATAGGTTTTCATTCATTTAAAATTTTCTTTCTAGGTGGTTGTTCTTACATTAAAATGAGATTAAAAGAAAATTTTCTCTCAAACTGTATGACAGGAGCTGGAAGCACTCCTTTGCATTATGCAGCATATAGTGGAAACCTAAAGTGTTGCCAGGCAATACATCTGTTTCTGACATTAACTTAATTTTTTTGAGAATTCCTCATTTATTTGCATAATTGGCATTGTTGGAATTGTTAAGCCCAAAAACATCTCTTTGTTCAGGTTCTTCTTGCTAGAGGAGCCAGCAGATCAGCAGTGAATGGCCATGGGTAATCTCCGTTTCTCTATGTTATTGCAAAAACTGATCTCTTTTCTGTCTGAATCTCTGGTTCTAGTCCTTATTCCTTTTTGTTTTTGTCTTTCAATTTTTAGGTGGCTCCCAGTTGATGTTGCTAGGATATATGGATGTGATGAGCTTGTGCCAGTACTAAAACCTAATTCTAATCAGACGATACCTGTCTTTCCTATAAGTTGTCTTTCCCTCCCTCTTATAAGTATTCTGAAAATTGCAAGGTACTACTAGACTTATTGTTGCACTTCACAGGTCCTGAATTTTCATAAATCTCATGGTCATTCTTAAATTTACTCACAGCAGCGTTATCTGTTTTTGTAGTCGATACTTTTATCTTGTTTATTTTATGATATGTGGACATAAAATTTAGTATCCATCATAACTGGCAAAGCATATGTTGTTCACTACTTTTTCTCTCTCTGGTAATTATAAAGCTCTGATACTGCTCATGTCTAAACAAAAATGCATTGTAGCAAAATACTTGCTGAACTTCATCATGGTGGAACATATTTAGCAGTACAATTGGATCATCGCTGAATCAAAGAATTAACTAATATAAATCTTGAAAATTTTAGTTATTCTGATGCATTTGCAACTGAATCAATTATAAGACATAAACTTGTTCTCAAATTTCTACAGCATAAGGTAGGCCCATGGGATTTTGTTGAGTTTGTTTTCCTAGCCCTTCACTTATCATGCAATTGACCCATATTTGAGTCGACCTCCACTTCCACATGTAGATTTTAATTGGAAATAAGATTATAAAGATAACAGATACTAAAATGTTTCTGATTCTTGCATGGTATAGTTTGACTGTATCAGTGCAATTACTGGTCATGCTCAGATATGTGAATCTTGAGCTAAATGTGTTACGAAGGCATGCTTATAAGAAAAAAAAGTAACTTGTTTCCCCTAAGAATCAACAAGCATACCACCTAATATCCTCTTCTTGTTTATGTTGAAGTAACAGATGCATCATTGTACCAGACAAAAATCTATCTAATATTAACTTAGCAAGCATCCAAATAATCAGAGACTGGATCACATGAATAAAAGTTCAGCAAGTTCAGTAATTGTAAAACTAGATCTTATGTGTATCCTGAAATAATTTTGAAGACTTATCTCTGCAGAGAGTATGGATTGCATTCTTCAACTGTTCCTTCTGATGATAGTGATCTCTGTGCTGTTTGTCTAGAGAACACCTGCGCTGTAGCCGCCGAAGGTAAGCATCATTTCCGATATCACCTCAGTTTGCTTTCTTCTACTTCATGCATTTACTTGTTTCATTTACTCTCCTTCCTGTGATTACACAATTTTATGTCTCCCCAACAATGTCCTGACACTGCTAATACCACATTGGCTTGATGGTTGATGCTGAGGATAAACTCTTCTTTCTTGGGTCATCCAAATTTGCTTCCTCTTGTTCTTCAGGTTGTGGTCATGAATTCTGCACGAGATGCACGCTCTCTCTTTCCTCAACATGCAGTATGGCACCCGAGATGTCTGCACCACCTGGTTCAATTCCATGCCCCCTCTGTCGAGAAGGAATCGTGGCTTTCGTAAGGTTGCCTACTCTTCTGGTGAAGGATCTCAGTCTCAAAGGCAATAGCGACTCTCACAGCCTGAATCAAACTGCAATTGCCATCAGATCCGAGTTCTGTAAGAAACAGTCTGCAGTGGTTCCCTCAGAAGCCATTGGTCCGATCTCTTGTCCCCCACACATTCCTCCAGTTATTTCATCCTGTTCGAGGCATCAACATACTGGCAGAGCAGAGAAAACAAGCTGCTCGACGTCAGTTCACTACGGTAGCTTGTAGTTTCTCGATCGTTTTGTAGCGCGTTGCATCTGCTATTGCTGATCGCATGGGTTCGTAACGGCGACACAAACAACAAGCATTTCATCGAGCAAGTTGTGCTCATGTACTAGTGATAAAAATCTCATTGCCCATTCAACTATTACACATGCGCGCGCACATGGAATGTACAGTCTCTCATCCTACTTAGAATCCAAGGCAATGGGAGGCTAAGGAGCCCTGGATATGCTCAATCCCGGCCGCTGGCAAGCTCTTCGATGGCCTCGACGATGGCGTGGGCCGAGACGGCCTGTGGCGGCGGAGGGCGCGGGTGCTGGAGGCAGTCGATGAGTCGTTCGACGAAAGTATAGGCCGGCCGGAAACGAAGGACGACGAGGGCGATTTGACCGATGACTCCGCCGGTGAATGTGAGTATGGTGAGTGGTTCCATTTTGGAGCAGAGACTAAGATGGGAGGAGATGTGTGAGATGGAAGAAGCCTTGGCTTCATGCATTTATAGTGTGCTCGATGGCTGAGAGCTATTTTAGGCGAATTATAAGAATTAAAAAAGAAGCATTTTTTGTTCAACACAAAACCTTCAGTTTACTTAACAGCATAAGCTATTTTTGGGAGGTGAGTTATGTTAGGTTTTGTTGGTGTGGTTAAGGGAAAAAAAAGTTAATGATGCTCGGATAAGCTCGATGTGGTTAAGACTCGTATGCAATAGTAAGTGACTCGATCATCGAGATGACTCGAGAGCTCTTTCGAGATTTAGCTAATTTGCATGAAGATCGAGATCGGTGGATTTTTCGATTCGATTTGTTTAATGTTCAAGTGAGATGAATAAAATAAATTTAATAAAAATTATTTGCCTTTGATTATCGTGTTTAAAATTTTATTTTGTAGTTGATAAATCAAGGAAATATTTTCTCCACTGCCAATTCTAGTATATGGGAAAATGTTTATTGGATTATCGTCTTAGATTGATGTATGGTCATACACTCTTACCATTGGCTATGCCACCACTATGTATCGCATCGGTATTGAAGGAGAATATTTCCTCTATCAAGTGTCTTATAAGAATTTTAAGACATCATTGGCTATACCACCACGAAAATCTACCTGAGCTGTTATTGGCGAGATTGATGGAGTTTCCGGGCCCCGGTTCGGTAATCTCCAATCAAAACGTAGGTTGCGCGTCGAGTACAGACGCGCGAGTGACAATAGTATACCAAAATAAATAAAAGACAATGGAAAACTGTTACTAATAATTGAATCCAATTTGTTTAGGATTCTTCTTCTTATGCTTCGTCTCTGAGATCCCAATTCCGTTTCGGTTCCCGTCGATCGATCGGCCGATCGATTAAGGCTCGGGTCTCGAGCTCGCTTGTCGATTCTATTTGGGGATCTTCTTCGCCGCAATGTGGTGGAGAAGTTCCTTGAATCCCGTCCTCGTCGGTGGTGGAGGGGCGTCCATCGACCCATCCCCCCTCGTGGCCGGCGGGGACGACCGCGTCCGCCTCCGGGGCGGTGGACCCCGGCGGCCCAGCCTCCGCGGGGCGGCCCGGTTCCTCCGCCGGGCGGGCAGCCGGCGCGGCATGCGGGAGCCGTCGCTGCTGGTGCGGGAGGCCGCGGCGGAGCAGCTGCAGGAGCGGCAGAGCGGGTGGGCTCAGTCGCGGCCCGTCGTGTTCCTCGACGCCCTCTGGAATTTGGCGTTCGTCGCCGCGGCGGGCGGTGTCCTAGTCCTGAGCCGGGAGGAGACGCCGTCGATGCCGCTGAGGCTGTGGATCGGGGGGTATGCCCTTCAGTGCGTGCTCCACATTATCTGCGTCAGCGTTCAGTTCCAGCAGAGGCTTCTGCAGCGGGGCGTGGAGGAGAGGGCAAGGTGGGGTCGGGCGAGTTCGGGACGGCCTTCTCCAATGGAGATGGTGGAAGCTAGGGGTTATGATGCTGAGCAGGGTCATCATGAGGAGACGACCGGGTAAGAAAAAGCTCATTCCCAATTCAATCTTTTCCTCATCAGTTTTGTTCTATCTCGTACTACTATTACGTTGGATCTGAAGACTTTGATCTATTACTGACAGTTGAGAATGCCAATGGTGCATGAGCGGCTCTTTAAGTTGATTGCAAGAAAACATTTGCAAGAATCAAGCAAGACCTACATTAAAAGACAAAAAAAGAAAGTTGGATTAGTTTTGGATTCCGGTCATGCAATCTTGTTAGTGGTATTTGTGGCGATTAAGATTGTTTAAGAATAAAGCTTCAGAAAATTATTAGTTTTATTTATGCATGTAGGATCATATGCTTTACCATTTCCATTATATTAGTCAGAAATTTGGTCTGCCTATAAATACATATAAGAGGATTCAGTCATTTGTTGCTTAAACAACTGGATATTTTTCTTCATAAGAATTCCTTGATATATTGATTCTTGGAAAGGATGAGTTAGGTCAATTTTTAAGGGTTCATACTTGTTCAAGTTGCAAACTACTATATGAAGAATATGTACACAGAGCAGGAAATACATTTTCTCTATGAGGCATATAAAAGAACAGCCAGCAAAACAAAAATGCTTCCAACTATATATGGTCAGGAGAGAGTCAATCTAGACAACCTTACCCTATAAGCAAACAGGTTGTTTTCCTGAAGAATACAAGACATCCTCAACATAAATGAAAATGAGCAGTTGAAGACACTGGTAAACTAGTAAATAAAAATGGGTAGCCTGGTGCACAGATCTCCCTCAAATATACAGTTTGAAGAGGTTAATGTAGGTAACACAGGTGAACTAGTGATTCCAGCATTAATTTCATTACATTTCTTGATATGTGGGCAACTCGTTTTTCATGATAACAAATATCCATACTTTTTATTGATCATACATGCTAGAGTTGCAAGGATGGTTCTTTGAAGACTTATCTCATTTTGAAAGTATCTTTTGGTAAAGCAATTTTTCATTTCTTCTGGCAAGTACTCTAAGAGAAAGCATCATACTTTGTCTGTGGCCATATACATGGGTATTTGTTTTATATCCATATTCAGTTTAAAAGGACAAAATCAACTCCATTGCATACATGTGCATGTGGGAAGTGGTGGCTTCAGAGCTGATCCATGATAAATTTTACGCCTAAATGTAGCATGGCTTTATTCGTGAGACATGAGAGACCTTTCTTCAGATGCTTTCTTCTATTTATCCTTATCTTATTGCAAGCATGCGATGAAATAACATTTAAATATCTAACAAGCACTATCCAAAAATTATAATGTTCAAATCGGTTAGTAGTGCTATGATGAAAATACATGTACGTGTGTGTTATTTCAGGTAAGAAGACAAAAGATCAAGGAAGATACAGACAGACATAATAATTCTTTCATATTTACATACAACATGGCCATTAGTTAGGCCAAATGATGGGAACAAATTTATGCAGCTCTGTCGTTGCACCCTATCCTACTGACCAGATCTGTCTGAGTGGACAAACCTATAAATCCAAAAAGCAGCTTCTTTCAATATCTTTTGCTGGATAAATAACATTATTTGATAATTATCCATTATTTCAATTTCATGGCATTTTGCATAGAGATGCTTGATGCTATGTGTTCTTTTATCCATGGTTTTTCTATTTAAGTTTGCTCCTTTATCTTTGTTATCTTTATTACTTTGATTTCTTTTTTCTTGTCACTTTTCATTTTATATTAGGATTCATAATTTTTTTTTTTCTTTCTTAATATGAATTCCAACTCATTTATGAGTGTAATAACAAGTTACATATGTTGTTAGGTATCCATTGTCTTTTGTGAATCACCTGGTGCTGAAAACAAAGCACTATGCTATTACCTTTTGTGTGTGTGTGTGTGTGTGTGTGCGCGCGCGTGTGATGTTTCTCTCTCTCTCTCTCTCTTGCATCTTTTTAGATTTTGATATATTGAACATTATCTGATTTGGTTGATCTTACTGATTGTGGTCCCACATCTTACTGATTGTGGTCCCACATAAATGATCAATTCCATATATGATACTGTTCATCTTGTTCCAGAAACTGAATCTCTAGAATCCACTTAACAATTTCTTGAATTGATAAACAGGCTCAGAAGACTGCTGCATTTGCCTTTAAAACATCTGCATAACATTATTTAACTTGAAATGCCAAGTTAAATAAAATGACTATTGTTACTTTTAATGGCAGTGATTGCTGGTCCCATCTACTGTCTTTTGAACTTGAAATCCTCGCCCACATACTTTTAATTTCTTTTCTTTTGGTGTACCCTAATATCCTAGTTTTAATTTTATGGTGTTGGGAGTTTTATATCCTATAAATTATTTCCCTGGACTGATTTCTGTGTTTATCACCTCTTAATATGTAGTGTTGCTAAATATCTGGAGTCAGCAAACACTATGTTCTCATTCTTATGGTGGATAATTGGATTTTACTGGGTTTCGGCTGGAGGTCAAGCATTGACACGTGATGCACCACAGCTATATTGGTTATTCCCTGAATATGTATCTTTGGATAATTGGTTTACCATGTAAATCTTTCTTATTACTTATTTTTTCCTGCTTGATCTGTTTCTTTTGTTTTTTCAGGCTTTGCATAGTTTTCCTGGCATTTGATGTGTTCTTTATCATTTTTTGTGTTGCTCTGGCGTGTGTCATTGGCATTGCTGTTTGCTGTTGCCTACCATGTATCATCGCAATTCTTTATGCTGTCGCAGATCAGGTATCTGATACTATTGCCAACTCCTTATTGTAGGATAACATGTTCCCACTATAGCTTAGCATCAGATATAGTTTTGTCTTTTAAAGGTAAAACTCTGTTGTGCTTGATCAAGACATCACAATCTTTTTGAAACTATATGAGAGATTTTTTGATTGCTAAAATAAGGTCAATAAGTTAATATCAGAGATACAAAACAAAAAGTGATTGATTTTCAATGATTGGAAATATGTTGTTTCCATATGATAATATATTTCCTTTTCAATTTTATGTTTGGGTTAATCTATTGCAAAATTTGTCTTGCAGATATGAGATTGATCTGTACATCAGAATGTATAAGGAATAGTGATAATTTTTCCCAAGTTGATGTACTATCCGGGTATTCATTTGGTTATTGAACTCAAACTTCAGGAGGCATGGTTGGGCAAGGCATATTACAGTTTTATTTGTACCATATAGGGTAGAATTGGCCTAAATGTTTAAACTGGTTGAAATGTGGGTCTATTACCCATTAAAATAAGAACAGAAGATAAGAATTTGTCTTCTTCCAATGGGTATTATGCTGAGCTTTTCATATTTTTGAGATCATATACATGTATATGGACCGGAAGGGCTAGTTGGGCTATGGCATTTTTCTTCTTTTGCCCTATAAACTGAAATTTCTGGGTTTCCCTGACAAAGTACTAAACTAAACTTCTAATATTCCTAATGTCTTTTATGTTCTAAAAGATATATGCTATTTTTATAAATATCTCAAATGAAAAAGTCATTCTTCAGAGCAGATACCCCTTTTTGAAAAACTAGCACTCTCCTTTCGATGTATTGACTGTGATATATGCAGAGCATATTAGGTGCTATATCTGATATTGTGATACATGGTATGGTTCATCTGTGATATTAGATCTTTCTAGTCAAAGATCTGTGATATATCTAGAGCATATTAGTTGCTTACCTGATATTGTGATACATGGTATGGTTCATCTAGTCAAAGATCTGTTCATGAAAGCTAAGTGCCCAGAGAAATAGTAAGGTACATTTTGCTGGCATGAAGGAAATCAAATTACCCTATGACCTACATAATTATTATGTTTATGACCTCGTGAATGTTGTTTTATTTTCTGGCTAACTGTCCTAAAAGATATTCAATTGTTTGTTATCTTCCTGTTTCCTCTTAAAGCAAGAAGGTGCATCTGATGAAGATATCCACCAACTTCCCAAGTACAAATTCCGAAGGATTAGCAATTCTGAAAAACTTGGTGCTGGAGCACAAAGACCCGTCGGTGGAAGTATGATCGAGTGTGACACTGATTCACCTATTGAGCATGTTCTATCAGCAGAAAATGTGGTAAGCTTTCTTCTTTGATTGCTCATTGAAGTTCATGTTTGTGAGCATTCGTGCCTTGATTATTTTTCTCTGTCTTTCACACTCCACTCCCCTCTCTCACGGTTTGAGATTTTAGCTGACGTTATGGTTCTCTTCTGCAAGATCAATTTAAAGCTAAAATCTACATAAAACTGATGATGGTGGACAATTATAGTTGTTGGACGGTGTTATTCTTTGTGACAGCCAACCATAGGCCGGACGAGGCAATTGCATTTATCATGAATTTTACCTGGGAGCAATAAAACCTTTTTGATTTGTTACCTCGGTTCTATACTTAACTAAAGTTGTACGTTAGCATGCATTATCTGCACATATTATTTTGAAGAAAATAGAATTCTATAGAGCCCATTGCAATAGATTATATATATGCAGAAAAAGGATCTTTGATTCTTTGTGAGATGTTTTACCCAATTCTAAGGAGTAATAAACTACAAAGTCTTACTCTACAAGTTATATTGGGCACATGCAGGAGTGCTGCATCTGCCTCTCGGCCTATGATGATGGGGTGGAGCTGCGGGAACTCCCCTGCAAACACCATTTCCACCGTGCCTGCGTGGACAAATGGCTCTTCATCAATGCTACTTGCCCCCTCTGCAAGTACAACATCGCCAAGATCACCAACCAAGGAGGGGAGGAGGTTTAGAACAAGGTAAAAGGACTTCATTCCCATTCCTTCCTTTTCCAGTATTATAGCCAGTGTTCATAAGAGCCCCGTGAGTGTGTGCCGACCTGTCCTTTCTTTCTTTATATACATGCATATCCTATTATTCCTTGTATTGATGCGATCATACGGTGTCCTGAGTGTGTGATTTTGGATAATTAAGAATATATTTCAATCCAAATTTGTCATACGTTCACTTGCAGCATTTAATATCAGACACCAGTTTTTTAGGCACCAACGAGGGCTTTACATCGTCGTTGTGGCGTCGGTTAGGTGAGTCCCATTTGGTTCCCCGCCGCTTCCTCCAATTATAAGGCAGGTATGTCGGGCAGGTGGGAAATTGTTGGTAACGATTGGCTTTATCCTCTAAGCCTTTCCTGACGAAGTCAAAGCGGACACCAGAACCCACGCGTCCTTCGGAGAAGCGGCTACCCGGGACACGGTCAACGCCGTCGGCACGGGCCCACCCCTGCGGCGTTCGCTTTCGGCGAAACGGTCACCTTGGACGCAGTCAGGGCCGCCAGAATAGGTCCACCTCGGCGGCGGGAACGCCACCGCGGGCACCGCCACTGGGATCCCGATCGCCACCCGACACCAGCCGGGCTCCTCCATTGGCTTCCCTGGCTGGGGCGGCGACGGGAGGCGGTCCACGCCGCGGCCCAGGAGCCGGACGGTCACGTGGATGACCCCGTGGCCGCGACCGCCGTGGCGAGGGGAGCGGAGGGCGTAGCTGAGGCGGCGCAGATCTGAAGGCGGCCGGAAACCGTCGAGGATGTCGGCGGGAGGGATCCGGCACCACCCGAGTCGCGCGGGGCCGCCGAGGGTCTGCTTCGAGAGGACGACGATGTAGACCGCGGCTCCGTCCTCTCCGCCGCAACCGGCGGCGGCGGACGTTTCCACGCTTGAGAATGAAGAGTCCAGCGGCAGGCGGACCGTGTCGCCCCAGTCGGGGTTATGGGCACCGTGTTCGTCGACGCGCGTGCGGTGGAGGGAGGAGGGGAGGCGGTCGCAGTCGGGGGAATAGAAGAGGGCGGCGTAAGGGCGGAGGCGGCGGCCGGGGAGGAGAGGGGAGGAGGGGTTTTTGAGGCCCTGGGCGGAGATGACGGTGATCTCCATGGCCAGCTCAGCGTCGTTGCCCTTCATCGAGGGCGAGGCGGCGGCGACGTGGTGACAACGGGCGGTGGTGATGAATGGAAGAGGGGAGGTGCAGGGAATGGAGTTCATGAGGGAGGAGCGGGAGGGGTGCGTATGCCTACTCTCACACACATAGAGAACGAGAGAAAGGAGTTCGGAAGACGGATATATATAGAGAAAGAGAGAGAGAGAGAGAGAGAGAGAGAGAAGAGGCGAAGGGAAGAGAGAAATTTCTGCGCTGTGGAAATTGAGGAGAAAGGTGGCGCGTTGAAGCAGGTTTTGGCGGTTTTGGCGCGTCGAAGGTGGCCGAAACTAAAACTTGGAAAGAAATTTGTTTTAAAAAATGAAAATTAAGGACTAATTATTTTACCACATATATATATATATATATATTAGGTACAAGAAATATAGGAAATGCTTTGAATGGCTTGGTATATAGATAATGAGAAATTATTATTATTATTATTATTATTATTATTATTATTATTGTGGTGAGCTGATAAAGTAAACATATGCCAGATGAGATTTCTGAATCACAATCCTTAGTAAATGGGTTTGGTATATTATCATCTAAATAATATTTTAACAAAAATCTTAAAGGTATGTGTGAGAGGATGAATACAATTTTTTTTTTTTTTGCTTGACTCAAGAGAATATTTTATTATAGAATTTATATTTCACTTTATGCACATAGGTAGGTAAATAGTTTCGAAACACATAAAATCTTATATGTACTTTTTATTTATATTTATGTTTTATTATTTGATATCTTTGTTGTTGTTTTCTTACGAGAGCATTCTTCATCGACCCCACCTTCGTAATGGAGCGTAGACAGCATGATGGACGTGGTGGCGTAGACAGCATGCTGGACATGGTGGAATGATCACAAGCTTGTCTCGGCGACGGGGCGGAGGCTGGTGAGCGCGGTCGTGGTTGGTTCCGGCGAGCTTCCTCGGATAGAGCGCAAAGCTCGTCGATCACTGCGAGAAACTACGTAGAAATGCGGATCCCGGCGACCATGTTTCCGACAAGGGCTTTGACTAGTTCTTGAATCTAAAAACACGCGGCTTTCATCTTATTCCACGCCGTTTCCAGTGCACACGAAGTCAGATGGCCGTCACGATCCAAGAGGAGATTGCGGATTCCACCGGACTCCGTCGCGCGCGTGTGTGTGTGTATGAGCCGCAAAGTCCTTGTCAGTTCACACGCCCGATGAATAACTCCTCGTGAGGAATTATGGTAGCGCTGGTTAATTAGATTCTAGAGGACTATATTTATGACTTGAAATTTAGTTAGATAGAGAAGTGATTAATGAATTATGATTATTTATATAAACATATCATGTTTTTTGATAAGAAATATATATTGTCATTAATTGTCACATAGCGTAAAGGAGAAGACGAAGGTCATCCTTTCACGTGAGCAATGGTCTAAGCCACACAATTATGGGTTACCCCTCATTTTCGTTAACGTGAACAAGAGACCAAAAGAAGGTTATTGGAGACGGTTAGAGATTATATTCCTGTAGAATATTTTATGAAATATTATATTCTTTTACGATCAAGTATAAAAGTGCGTTTTCAACACAATAAAAAGGGGCTTACCTTTTTAAACTACTGACGTAAGTATTTATATATCTCGAGTTACTAACTTGGGCATCTAAGGGACTGGGTCAAAAAACCTTTTTCGACCTTGATCTTCATGTATGTGGCACCTCAGACAATCCTATGCATACATGTTTAAACCACGTCAACGACTTCTTTCCTTATTATTTTTGATACTAGAAAGAGAGCCCGATGTTGTAAGCACACCCGCTTACTAACCCTCTTAATGAATGTGGTACTGACATCCTAAGAGCACTCGAGACCTGTTGAACAATCCACCGAGGGAGCACTTCGCTCCCTAATTGAAGAATTCAACAAACCGCACAATCGCTCTACCCTACTTAAATTTGAGACCTAGTAGACGAATTTGACGAAGGATTCCTTACAAATCTAACTTGACGTTTGGAGAAGATGCGACTAGAGTTCCAACTTAGTAAGTGCAAAAATGATCGATGTGCGAAGACCATCTTGAAAAGCGTAAAAGTGATCGATGCACAATGACCATATCGAAAAATATCAGAAACCCGATATGACGGGAGATACAAGACAAAATGTGTCCGAGGCGCACGAGTTAAAAAAACTTAACCTGTATCAAAAGAAACTCGCCACGATGAAAGGGACAAAATGAAATGTTCTTGAGGCACGTGAGTCAGCAAGCTTGACCCCAATCTTCGCCCGAGGCATGAAGGTCGAGAAGAGTGACCATCACCTCTGCTCGAGTAGTCCATTGGCATGACCCTTATAAAATGTACAGCTATAAAATTATTAATGTTAATCGCCAAATTTCATGCCCATCCCCACACATCATGAATAGATTTAGTATAGCAAACCATTAATTGGGTCAATGAGTCGAAAACCCTAACCATGCAAAGTTTCTAAAGTTAGAAAGATCAATTGAATGTGGATGCAGCACCACAGGAGAATCATCATATGGGCCACAGGATTTCTACCAACCCTTACTTGATTGCTACTAAGCAACTACACTCCTCATTCTATGTTCGACAAAAAGAAAAATGATAGGAATTCGATGATACTGAGGTTACAAAAAGGAAAAAGAATTGATGATAAGGTCAAGCATATTCTTTATTCATCACTCAAGAGGGATTTATGATAGGAAGAAACCTAATATAACACTGGAATCTGACACATATCTAAAGAGGGTTAAATTGGTATAATATTGAATTATAATGATTCAAAACATTATTCTTACTCTTAACTACTTGTAAATATAAAGATTTCTTATAGTAGCGTTTCTATGTAAAGAATAATTCTCAGGTAGACTCGATCGATAAGGATTAACCTAAAGATTAAGAAGGGAAAGGAGGGCAAGTTAATTAAGTTTGAATTAGTACCAATTGGGATGTCAAATCCAGCTTGTCAGCACCCAAGATGACGCGGATCGTCCTCTGGTACGAACCCTAAACCGCGTCTGTCATAAGCAACACGGATTAATTATTGGATGCACCTGAAACAAGAAGGTATCAAAGTGAGAGAAACTTACGATAGATGAAGGGATGAGACCTCTCCCACGCGTTCGCTGACCGCGTCCCTGAGTTCAAACAAGATATATATATATATATATATATATTACAAGACTCCAAAATATCCTACTAAATTAGATAAATTTTTTATCTCATTATTACTAAGTACTATTTTATGTGCAGTTAGAAACACGTGATGTCGCCCCGCAGTCACGTGCGCGCCCCGTCGTCGATCGGCCGGTCCGGCGTGATGCATGCTTTCCGGGACGGCCGGGGGCAGTGGATGACCCACGGCTGCCGGCCGCCGCGTTCTGGCGACACATCCTTCGGGTTTGGCCACGCGGATTCGACCGACTCCGTTTTTACCTCCTGCGATACGGGTGGGCCGTCGCCGTCCTCCAACCGAGGTCGTTTCACCCCGATCGACACACCGAAGAGTTTCGGGCTTGCTCCCGGCTGCGACGGAGGCACCTCACTCTTCGTGGCTTCTTCCTCCTCTTCCACTTCCTCCGCCGCGGGACCAGGTGGCATCAGCTCTAGCAACGGCGCGGCCGCCTCCTGGCCTTCCACCCCTTCGCCGCGCTCCTGCCGGCCCGACGCGTGCCTTGATATTAGCGTTGCGATCTCCCTGCATAGCTTCTTCATCTGCGCCACCTCGCGGGAGAGCCGTTCGTTCTCCTTCCTCAACCACGCGTTCTCCTCCCCCAGCTCCGCCTCGCCGCGGGGACGCGTCGTGGCCGAGTGGTTCGGCGGCGGCCCGGAGGAGGAATTCGATGACAGCACCTGCTCCTCGCCCGAGTACGTCGACGATCTGGCCCGTCGCACATGCGCTGTCCCCGGGATCGTGGCGGGCGCTAGCGGTGGCGCCGCCGTCGAGGTCTTCCTGCGGTGGATGTCTTGAAGCAGGCGCTTCTCGCCTCTCCTGAAGCAATCGTTGGCGAACTCCCATCGATCCGGCACGATCTTCCGAAATCCCTAACAGATCCCCCCAAGAAACCTCAAAAACACATCAAAAAATCGCAAAACAATCGAACATACCCGGGAATTAGACATACATAGGTGTTGAGTTGGCGGACGAAGCTGGAGAAGTTGTTGTGCTTGAAGTACTTAGGGAGGAGGTCGCTCGCGAACTCCGCCGGCCGCCAGACGACGAACGTCGACCCGTCCTCGTTCCACGAGACCACGTCGTCCACCGCGGGGTCGTCCACTAGCTGGTACGTCTTTGTCAGGAATGGCGTCGGCAGCGACCGCTGCTGCCCCTCCGCCGGCTCCGCCGCAAGGGTCATCTTCGCACGCCGCTCGCGAGTCTTCACAGTTCGAAAGGCGACGGGGGAAAGATCTTGAAGCTTTCTAATAGTTTCGGTGGGCAGAGGAGGAATTGTAATGGAGTAAGTGGAATATGATCCAACGGCGAAGGATGATTCGGTGGATGGATCAGACCGAGAAGCTTCGATTCGGTTCCTCTTCTCGAAGGTTCGACGACAGTGCGTGCCCGTGGCTGCATATGATGGGTTGAGACGTGGAAGGGGCGGATCTTTTGCAAATATGATTGCATATAAATAATGAAAGGCGGGCGAGGCATGAACACGTCCGGATGTGGAGGGAAAGAGAGACGGGGTAAGGAAGAAGACCGAAAACATAAAACATGTGTAGAATGGATTACATTTATGGCTACTACAAGTCAAATTTGAACATGTGGAAAATTGAATTAGTGGACTTTCTGAAGAACTTGTAAGCAGATGTCATCTTATTTCATAGGATAAGAATTTGTAAGCAGGAGATAGATAAAGTGGGAAGCTTTTAAAAGTAAGAACCAATGGCCACTGGTCAAAGTTAGGAGCAAAAGCAAAGGCATGGGAAACAGCTTGGTGCAGTCTATAATTAATTTAAGTGAAGCATGAGGAAAGATAAAAGACATCCTGAAGGACATGAATAATCTCACAAGGCTAGTTTATAAGCTTTTCTACATCCTTGAAGAAAAATGAGCAGTTTGAAACCAAGAACAGACAACTGAAGCCAAGTTCCAGAAAGACAACTTTAACCCTCTAAGATGGGGTATTGGATCTTCCCAATCATGGAGGCAGTAACATCAAAAGATGCTCATAAAAGAGAGGCATTCACCACCAAAGAATGATAGTAGTAAGGGCTGGAAGACATTTAATGTAAAGCAACTCATACAGTTGGGGAGCAGAATCAACAGTCAATGATTGGGAGAACAAGTTCTAGATGCTTGAACTGGGAAGTAAATGACCAAAATACATGTAGCAAACAACAAATCTGCAACTTGTAGCAGTTCATCCAGTTCAGAGACTTGTAATCATCAAAAGGTAGAATGAAAGGAAAAGGATAGATTAATTGAATGGAAAATTTTGTTTCTAAGAGTTATGTACTGCAAGAAAGAAGAGAAGGAAGGAAGAATCTTGAACTTCATTTGTAGGGAAAAACATATTGCAGATAGTATTGGCATGATACAACAATCACATGACTGGTTAATTATGACATTTTGGTGCATCCATCTCTTAAGTTAAACGAGAAAAGTACAGGAGAAAACTTCCTGAGAAGCAGATTGTTTAAACATTTATCTTCTTGATGGATTTCAAGTAATGAATGAACTTTGAATATTCATTTGACGATAACCAAGGAAATAACCAACACACAGAGCCGATCGCAAATGGGAGCTATCAGATGAGAATAGGAAAATCATTAACCAACATTAGAACTATGAAACACAAACTTTTACTCATAGAAAGGAAACATCCAGAGGATGATACTAGAGATTTATCCACGAGTCGAAGAAAGCCGAAACACCAATTAGCAAAAGAGACTTATACATGAAAATTAATCTGTTTGGACAAGCAGAGTCACTTAGATTAGCAATCAAGCCACTGATGATGAAAGATAACAATAAAAGTTGAAAACAGGTACAAACAACATGCCACCAATAAAAAAAAATAAAAGTTGGTAAGTCGATCTCTGTTCAATGCCATAAAAAGAAGCCCCATTCATCCTATCAGCATATCAGAAAGTAGAACTCGATTTCTGCAGAGTCTTAAGAGACCAAGCTGCCAGAGAACTGAGTAGCCAATGAATGGTGATGCTTGACACAGACGTATATCATTAGTCTCCAACTCAATTGCATTTTCTAGAAGCAGAAGAACATTTTTCTTGATCTAATTTGACTCTTAAAGTGGATCTCATCAAAAAATAGATAATTGTAATTATCAGAACAATGACTTAATTCTCCAAATGAAATGATAAAATCAATATGACTTCGATTTTATGACATTTACCCACTTTTCATTGGTTACCTCATAAGTTGCAACAACAACATGACTTACCTAACAAATGCTGTAAAGCCTTTCATTTTAATTAAAAAGAAAAAAATGTTCCAGGAATCATATAGAAAGCTACCTATTGAAAAAGAATGAATGGTAAAGTTCACCAAAATTTTCTACAAAATTAAATCCTCTAACAGAATATCTTTCCTAACTGCAAGTGTTCTAGATTACAGATATAAAATGGAAAGGGGCACCTGCTCTAGTAGGTTGGCACAATAGCTGCTTGAAAAAGGACAATCAATCTTTCACATGTAAAACATACTAGAAAGATCATCCAGATATAAATTTCCTTTCTTTAGAGATGCTTTACTTTTGAGCAATGAAAGAATAGAAAAAGCAAATAGAGAGAAAACACATTAGCATTCCTTAGGATTGCCTCATAAACTATGAAGGGTTTACTCATGTAGAAGCAAGGCTCTAAACTATTGTATTAGGTGTATTGCTAGGTTTCACACAGATCACAAAAAGAGGAACAGGTGAAGACAAGATCATTTGCTTTCTGCAAGTGCAATTTCCTAGGATGCGACTCAAGATGTGATACCTTAGGTAATGAAGCAATAATCAATGAGGTGGATTCCTTTTACCTAGATGGCGTTTGGTGTGGCCCAAACATCAAACTTGTAACCATCAAGAATTCTCTGCAGTTGGGATGTTGTAAGTAAACTTTATTAGATCTCTCACCCAAATTAAACTACAATATCCCCATCCCTTTCCCTGTTACACTCACCCCTTCTTCAGATCTATATACTAATGACATATCAACACTTACTGGGTACAAACTGATACTTTCTTTTTTATTATGAAGAAGTTGCATGCTTATTTTGATGATGCCTCTAACGTTTCAAAGAAAGGTAATTGGCTTTGTAACTTTAAGTTTTAGTTCTTTTCATTTTTTTTTAAATCCTAGACCATCCTTGTCCAAGCTTAATTCTCAAAATTTCAAGCAGCTCCAATCACAGACAGGAAAAGAAAGATATCTTGGTAAAAAATTGTAAGCAATTGTGTGCCCATGTTGAATTGGAGACAGTACATATGCCAAGAACTCATAAAGCAAACTATTTTGATGATGCCTCTCACATTCAAAGAAAGGTAATTAGCTTTGTAACTTGAAAGTTATAGTTCTTTTCTTTTTTTTATTTCCTAGACCATCTTTGTCCAGGCTTAATTCTAAGCGGCTCCAATTACAGACAGGAAACAAAAGATATCTTGGTAAAAAATTGTAAGCAATTGTGCGCCCATGTTGAAGTGAAGACAATACATAACCAAAGAACTCATAAAGCAGACTAACCATACAAGGGATGATTGCATTGATGATAAATAAGATAGAAGTGTCAAGCTCCTCAATCAAAATTAAATATCCAATTACTTTAACATTGTTGAGTAACAAATAATCCAACTCCCATCTTTCTGAAGGCAATGTTAAACAAAATAAAAACTCAAATCAAGACACAAACAAGAAACCAAATCGATATAAAGTGAGGATTGACATGGTCAATATGGACCAAGCAAACATAATCCACCAAGCTAAGAACAAAGCTATCTCTTTTACAAGGTCAGAGAAATGCAGAAGATCACCCATGAAAAATAGACCACCAAACAAGTCAGATCTAACCTGAGATAACCCAATCAACAGCAGAACCATAACCGGTGGTGCAAAGAACTGGAGCACCACCAAGCAGAGGTAGTGATTGTGTAGAAACACTTTTGCTCTCCCGTAATCCATGTCAGGCACCCGGCTAGCGTGCAGCCGCTGATACCAGCTGACCACGGCCTCGTTAAGGTACATTTGAACATTAGGGCGGAGCACCATAAGCTGCAAGACGGCAGAAGCAATGAGAGCCCAAACTCTGAACTCCCTGAACCAGACTGACCCGACCTCACCACCAGCCGGCACCACTGCCACCGGGATCACCCAGAGAAGCGGTGCAGCGGCCGCTGCAAGGACGGCCACGTAGAGGAGAACCTGGTTGAGGGCGCCACACGAGACCACTGCAAGGTCCCACCGGAGCTGATCCGTCCCGAGCCAGAAAGCCCGTGCCGCTCGAGATGCCGGCACGAAGAGCAGCCCCACGAGGACGCCGGCAAGTACCGAAACCGTCGCCTTGGTGGATCCGGCGTCGACCCCGCCCAGCTCGAAATCGAAGAGATAGGGGGAGAGGACGAAGACTATAAGTAGAGCAGAGAGGAAGCCCAAGAAACCGGCGACGAAGCTCAGTTCCTTCTCCGACCGCTTGGAGGCGGATCGCTCGAGGGAGAGCTTGGAGAGTAGAAGAAGGAGGTGAGCGACAGCGAGAAGTGCGACGGAAGCGACAGTCGTGGCAGCGGGGGAGGGATCGGGAGGAAGAAGGAGACGGAGGATGGCAAGATCTGTGAGAGCGACGGCGGAGGCGACGAAAGCGGCGCGGAAGGAGGGGAAGAGGAGGCGGGTGCGTAGATGGGAATCGGAGAGACGAAGGCGGAGGAGCTGGGCGTTGCCATCGTCAAAGCCAGGAACACGGTGGTGGGAGGCGGAGGAGGATCTGGGCCGGCGCTTGGGATCAGGGGGGGCGTCTGGACCAGAGGGACGGCGAAGGACGGCGCGGAGTCCGTCGCCGCCGGGGTTATCGGGGTGAATGTAGGTGTGGAGGCCGTAAAGGAGGAGGGAGGGGAGACAGAGGGTGATTGAGAGGAGGGCCGCGGCAGCGGAGGCTGCGGCGAGGAGGAAGAGGTGGTCGAAGGGGGAGGCGAGCATGGCGGGCGAGGAGCGGGTTAGAGCTCAGAGCCGTAGATTGGGTTAAATAGCAAAAAGGGAATCGGGTTGGAAAGGGGCTCTTATGGTCCGTGATCGACCGGCCGGTAGTAGAATCTGCTCAAACCAGACCGGCATCATTGTTTCGGACCCGCCGGGGGCCCCACTACGTCCTAGTTTACAGGTAGATATACTACTCGTTTGTGCGAGTACAGGTTTTTGTTTGCGGTGAACGAAGAAGTCAATATAATCTCCATCACTACATCAAGATTGATTTAAAAAGCATACACAATATATACTGAAATCTCAACTTGGAATGGTACAAAGTGCAATGCAGGTAAATACAAGCTACCAAATTGATTGAAATTTTATACGTAACTCTGGAATGGTACAATTGCTTGCAACCATAGTATTAAGCTGCACACAGTGCATGGAATGGTACCAGACAACACAAATATGGATTACCAAGAAGTTACAGAAAAGGCATAATTGAAACTTCTTGGAGATTTGTTTCTTGAAGTAATGATTTAGTAGGTTCGAGTGTGAGAAGATGAACATATCACCTCTGACACCTTCGACTGTTATAGCTCTAAGGACTCCACAACCCTTCGAGCTTGGATTTGTAGAGCAGTTTGTCTCTGCTCTGGATCCAGAGTTGATCCGAACTGGCTTGCTGCCCAAATCAGAGATGCACACTTCTCTCCTAAGCTTCGTCGCATTTCATCGGGTATGTTTGCCAAGGGAGAGTTCTCGGTCTGGTTGACATACCCAACTAGTAGCAGCAGAAACTCCCCACATTTCAACCTGCATCAAGATGTGGAGATGAGTCGTGTAAGCCTACCTAGAAGCTAAATCTCTTAATGTTATAAAGAGCTCCTTACAATTATGATAAACTGATCGAAGGTTCTTTTTCTTCATAGATGAAATAAGTTTCATGAACCAACCTAAATGCTAAACCTCATTTCTCTTTATTTACTGTTCTCTTGCTAGTCTTTTAGAACATTTGAAAGACTATGGTTCTTCTACTCCCTCGAACCACCTTCAAATTTGCTCCAAATCTTCTTTACCATCTCTGACTTACCCTTGATCCTCTGTCATAGTTTCTCGACCATTCCAGCATTTCAACCAGACCTTAGTCAGCAACAACAAATGATTTATCAGATCCTAGCTACAGTCCCAAGACTCCAACATCACTCTTTTGATCCCTCATCTTTCTATCCTCTCAAATATGTCAAAAACACCAACATAAACCCTTGAAGATCCAACCTAACCACACACTGAAAATTAAAGGGCTACTAATTTTATGTTCTAACATATTTGTGAAACATGCATAAAAAGAATAAACACATAAAACCCAATAACTGAATCATTTACATTGAAAACATCTTGAAATTGTAGTCACCTGCTACGGTCATGATGACAATGTTCAAGAATGATGGATATAAAAACCTGATTTTAAATGCTTGCATACTTTACCAAGAATCACAGGCATTCTAACCTTGGAGATAAAATTAGAGAAATTGAACACATGTAACAAATGAGAAATTCAGTGAGAACAAGACAATAAACCATAAACTGAGGTGAAAACAAACTAACCTTATGTTTTCATCTGCTTGCTCGTCCTTAATAAGATCTGTGACGTTCTCAATTGCATGACATTCCCGAAAATCCTGGGATAGAAAAGTTCAACAAAATGGGATAACTTTATCCATAAACGGGATTGAAGATATGAGAAAAGAATATCATTCATAAGAAACTTTAAACATGATGGTTGTCCTACAGGTGACGCTTGACCTTTCTCTATACAACTCTAGGTTCAAAAAGACCCACTATAACTAAATCACAGTTGTCCTTTGGGAATATGTTACTATGATACACCAAAGGACAATGAATGCCACCAGCCTACAAAGGACCATGGGGAAGCAAAATATGCCCTGCATGTAGTATCGTACTGTGCCATGCTTTGTATTTGAGAATTGTACTTGCATTTGAGCCAGAAACTTAGCAGCGAGATAAACATCATACATCATACCACATAGATTGCCACATTATAACATATAAATTATTATTAATTAGCTTCCTTCTCAAGAGTGGCAAAATTTACATGCTTACCAATAGCCATAACATAGCTCACATGGTACAATCAGACAGAAATTCATGACTTTAAAGAAAAAAAACTTTTTAGCTTCCTAGTGTGATAAAATTCTAGAATACAAAGGATGCACAAAGCAATATAGCAGGGAAATACAAACTAATTTGGCAATCACTTCATAAAGTGGATTTTCCATGAAGGTTGTGGAACTGTTACTTTCTTCTAAAGTTGCTGTAAATTGAATTGTTCCAAGTTTTTCATTCATTTCAATCTAAAGAAAGATGACAACCCAGGGACAGGGAAGCACTTAGAAGTAAACAATTCAAGAAGATACAGTGGCATCAATATCAACAGGATATTCGGTCCATTTCATTGAGGTTCAAACATATTGAGTTGACATATGAATGATAAATATCACAAAAGACGAGAGCACAAAATAAAAAAAAAGGATGCTTTTTGGTGGGACTAACTGAAATGAGAAAATTGATTCAGTATTGTTGGCCTCCAAAAGCCTTTAGAGAAGTAAACTAAATGCATAGGAATGACAAGGTATCTAAAATAATCAAGGAAACAAAGAGTGACAAAAAATCATAACATCAATTGTAGCTTAGTCATCACAATTACACTGACAACATAAAACAAATGGAGCAATTTTACTTATTAGGCAAGATTACCGAAAGATTTCCTTCAATGCAAGTATATGAAACACAAGAAATTCAAAAGGCAAGATCCAAAGATCATGTGCCACATCATGTTAGCCAAGCTTAGCATTGCATGTAGTCTGGTTTTACCATGATAATTTAACATGGATTGGACTATAGGGTATTAGGGATTATTCTTCCTAACCAGGACCAACAGTAGGGGAAAATTGAACCTGAACCCTTCCAAGGGAGAGGGAGAGAGAGAGGAATAGCATACCATCTGATTGGATGAAGAATCCAACACTAATGATATTAAAGCATCCAAGCATGCACCTTGCTCAGTGGTTCCTCGAGTAGATAGTATGTTAGTTAACACCTGCAATCACATTGTTCTTAGCCTTTTACAAGCATTAATATTGTCTTTGTTAAGAAGAACATTTTCATGAACAAATAACATCAATAAGTAGATAAGCAAAAAAATTCAATACTCCTACACAAAGTAGGTTTTTAGATGTCTATTAAATAGAGCATAGAAACAATATGATAATTTTCTCCTTAATAACTTGGACAAATCCTCTAATAATTGTCAAAAAAGATAGCATAGTCAAGATGTTGAGTACACCGAAAACAATAGAATATGTAGTGACTTGCATATCCAATATAATGCAGGATGTCATCCTGATACAGCTAAATTACTAAAAAAAAACCTTGTATCAATACCAAATATTTGAAATTTCTTCATTTTGTTGTAAGTAAATAACTATAAACCTAGAAAGACAACACCACAAAAGAAAAAAGACCTAGGTCAAAGATTTAATTTTTGGAATAATGTTTTATGACTAGGAAGCTGTTGAGCAATGTTTCCTCCAATTATGTAAGAGGATGGTATGATTGATCATATTCTGTCAGTAAAAATTTGCTCCTCTGGAAGCTTGATAGAATGAACAAACAAAAGCAGAAAAAAAATTAGATTATATTTCAAACACAAGATAAAAAGCAAAATGTAGCAACTCCAGATGCAGAGACTGCAATCTTACTTGGACAAAGACAAAACAAATACCAGTAGCATATGTATCTGGGAGCAAAAAGAGCAACCAAAAGATGGAAAATAGCAGTTCTTGATGGTTACTGTTCATAGCAAATTCCAAGCACCAGACAAACTTCATTGGAACTTCCTATAACTTGGATTAGTAGTCACCACTTAGCAGCAGCACAAAGGTCATAAGTGCTTCCACAATTAGGTTAGGATAAGTAAGGTTCACATTTTATTTGTCATAACTTTACATGGAAAAGTAGAAAAAACTTCATATAGCTATGGGCACATAGCTATATCTAACTACACATACATGCATGAACCAAAATTATTGTAAGTCAACATCACAAGTTAGCAACCACTGTCTAGCATGCACTGCACAGTGATCATGATGATATAGATGCATGAGGTAATCAATTCTTGTATATCTATGAAAGAAACTCTCTCTCTCTCTC